ATTCAAATTTCTTCTCTCTTCAGAATCGCACCATCCGCTTCTCAAGATCGTGCCATCTGCTCTCTCTCTCGCAAGGAGTGTTTCATCATCTTACGTTTTTGCTCCACCCATTAAGGCGGGGCTCATTCTCTGCTCATCAATTTAGAATAAAAATCTAAATGAATTTAAATTCATGCATTTTCTCATTTTTCCTCTTTCAAGATATTTAATAAAATAACTTTACATATATTCATGTTAAGTGTCAGTGTCTTCTTTTTTTTTTCTTTTTTCCCTTACGTCAACAATGTCTCTTTAGTAACCTGGGTTACACTGGGTCCCTACAAAATATTCGGTAACACTTTACTTGAAGGGGTGTGCATTAGACTGACACGACACCTTCATAATCATGACATGACACATGTCATGAATATGAAGGAGGTTTTCTGCATGTTTATGACAACTGTCATTAAGTGTCATTCGCTCAATTATGACATTTTGAATACAAATATGACATTGTTTGATTTGTCTTTGTTATGACAATTTGACATTACTAAGACAACACAACCTGTCATAAATATGTCATAAACATGACATAGCAGATTAATTATCAAACTTAAGAAAGCACTTAGCTTTATGGGTTAACATTACATTAAACTGTCATGTGGTTGGTTTTGACATTGGCTGTCATGAGGCATTATAACATTTTAATGACAAATTCAGTTTGTACCACTGTAGTCGAGGTCAAGAAAAATATTCATGACACAGTTATAATGCCTCATGACAGCCAATGTCAAAACCAACCACATGACAGTTTAATGTAATGTTAACCCATAAAGCTAAGTGGTTTCTTAAGTTTGATCAGTAATCTGCTATGTCATGTTTATGGCAGGTTGTGTTATCTTAGTAATGTCAAGTTGTCATGACAAAGACACTGACAGGTTATGATGTAATGGTTTATGTCAAGTTGTCATAAACATGCATAAAACGTCCTGTGTCAAATGTGTCATGTCATGATTATGAAGGTGTCGTGTCAGTCTTATGCACACCCCTTCAAGTAAAGTGTTACCGAAATATTCTCATGGTTTTCAGATTGGACCATTAGGTTTCTCCTAGAAAGCAATAATATTAAATTAAAAGCAAATGAAGTCTCAGCATCTGCGCCTCAAATGTCATGTTTGTCTCCTCAATAAAGACTTAGAAGAGATCTTCTCAAACGTCTGAACTGAAGAATCTCATGAGAAAACGTAAATATTTTCTGATTATTATGAATTTCTATTATGTGATTTGTACGGAAATGTACGATTTTTAGGAAAACCGTAAGCATGAAGATAACCAAACCGTCAGTGTAAACGGATTGAAGGAATGAGATTGTACGAATTAAAGCCCACCCACACCAAGAACGATAACTGTATCATTTTAATAATTCAATGTTCTATTTCTATGAGAATGGGGAAGTCCACAAAATAACAACAAAAACGACACAGAGGAATTACATTTAGTAAAAAAAAAAAATCCAGTTGATGAACGATAAAAATATTGACAGCCAATCAGAATTGATCCTGCTCTGGAGAGATTTAAAGAGGCAGAACATTATTACCGGTATATAGTTTTCATTACAGTTATCATTTTTTGTTTTTGAACTTTCGCCAATATGTATAATTATGAATTGCCAAGAGAGTATCTCAAAATGTACTCTAACATTTCTCATTTCAAGTTCGTCTTTCTATTCTTCCAAAATTTCCAAAAATTGACTTATTTTCAGATAGTGTATTCTTACATATATAATTGAATGAGATTTCAACTAATTATATATAGCATACATTTGCCAACAACGTTCTGGCAAGCGTCTTTCAAAGTAATAAACAAACGATATTCCAGAAAAGTTAATAAAAACGTTTGTTCAAAGTTATCTGGTCTTTAATAATGTTCTCAAAACTTTACGACATAAACATTATATTTATAAATTGTTCATGGAACTTTTTTTTCTTTCTGAAAAGCTTTATTTGGATGTTTGTCATTTTTAAAATGTTATACTTGTTTCAGAATGTTTAGAGAACATTCAAAATTAACATTATTATCATTTAAAAAGATAAAATGGAATGTTTCCTTAACGCTCGCATAACCAATAAAAAACAGGTTTTTTTTAACTGGACGTTTTGAACGTTCAGAGACATTCAGAAATAATGTTTTTATAACATTAGCAAAATATTTTTGTTAAGTGGGTTATTATTACATGATTCTTTGTTTTATGTTTTGATGGTTTTAGAAGGGTTTGGGACAGATTTGACATCTACTGACATCTCATTGGGAGGCATCATATAAGAACTCATCAAATGTGGAATAAATATGGTCATCTTCAACCATCAGCAATCCAACTATTAGGATTGGATTTGTGAAAGCTTATGATTAGACTTCCCTCTGCTGGTGGAGAAGTGCAATAGCACAGGGTCACACACAAGCCTATTGAGATGCACTGCTAGAATCTGTCGTGAAATGATGGATGCTCTGAGGCCGAATCAGCTGTATTACAAATCTCTACACACACACACACACACACACACAGTCGTAGCGCTCCTGAATAGTCGTCTTATTCTCGCAGTGTGACAGATTTGTACGCAGCGGTTTAGGGAGATGTAGGCGGTTTGTGTGTGTGGGCCGTCACCTCAAAAGAGAGAAAAGACACACACACCGTTCAGTTCAAGTAAAGGGCGTTAAATGTTTTCTTCACTCATTACATACATTCACTGCAAACAGCAGCTGTTGAAACATCACTTCTATGTGTGTGTGTGTGTGTGTGTGTGTGTGTGTGTGTGTGTGTGTGTGTGTGTGTGTGTGTGTGTGTGTGAGAGTGTGAGAGAGAGTGGGTGTGTGCGTGAGTGTGTGTGTGTGTGTGGCACAACTCATGTCAAAGTCTGTTGTTCACATTATTCAGACAGGTCTGTCTGTTCATGTGGGTGGAAGTGTTTATGTGACACTTCAGTGCATCTCTACACTCAAAGACAAATGCACACGAAAGGACAATGTAATACATCAGTGAGATTGAGAACTCACACTTTCATCCTCCATCAACATCTGTTCCTGCACGTCAAGTGTGTTTATGCCTCCTTTCATCTAATGTTTGTTTGGTTCTGCATGGGAAAACATTCACTGACTATTTTTTTAAAAAGAATGTTGTAACACAAGTTCCAAAAAAATATTGTTGGTTTAACTTAAAAATTGAAGTAACCTGGTTGCCTTAAAATTTTAAGTTCATTGAAATTGAAAAATTGAGTTAATACAATGAAGGATTTTGATTTAATAATCAGAAACTCAAAATATTATGTTATCTGAACCACATACATTATCTAAGTTGATTTGACAAAAGAAAAAATATTGTGATAACAAATCATGAACATATTTTTTTTTACAGTGTACTAGTCTCTGTTTATCTCTATATTCTTAGAGAATATCTGAGAGACTTGAGAGTGGACTTTTATTTGAGCCAAAACCACAGAAAACTCCCTAAAAACAACCGAAAACATGACAGTATCGCTTTATCATATTGCAGGGGAGTGAATCTATTAGAAAGCGAAGCTGCTGACTATCTCCTTTCTGAAGTCTCAGCTTATCTTCCTCCAAAACAATAGAAGAAACGGTGAAGACATTTTCAACAACTGCATATAAGAATTATTCATCTTTAACAATAATGCAAGACAACGAATCCATAAAAACCCACACAAGATTACAAGATCTCAATTGTTTCTCCTAGAAATTAGAAATGAGAGTCTTGCTGAAGCCTCCGGATTCTCAGATGTTTCTAATAATAATAATAATAATCTCACATGAGAGATTTCAGATCTCAACAGCATTTCAAACTGTGCTCATAATTTACTAAAGTCAAAGATCTCAGTCTCGGTATGATCTCAAACATTTCTCATTAAATGATCTGAGCGTCTGTAATACAGGTTGTTTAGCAGTTTTAAATAAAATAATGAATATTGAAGTAAAATACTAACATTCTGTCTATTTTAAAATTTCACATTTACTTTAATGTGAATTTAAAAACGGTAACACACCATATTTTTACCATATGATGCTGGCAACCACAGCTGCCAGTAGTTTACCGTTTTTTTTTTACAGTTTTTAAAATTAACAGCTAAATACCGTTTTGTCAGCTACAGTATATAACTAATTTAACAGCATATACTGTAGCAGACAAAACGGTATTTAGCTGTTAATTTTAAAAACAGTAACACCATATTTTTAAGGTATGATGCTAGCAACCACAGCTGCCAGTAGTTTACCGTTTTTAAAAAGTTTTAAAAATTAACAGCTAAATACCGTTTTGTCAGCTACAGTATACAACTAATTTAACAGCATATACTGTAGCTGACAAAACACTATTTAGCTGTTAATTTTAAAAACAGTAACACACCATATTTTTACGGTATGATGCTGGCAACCACAGCTGCCAGTAGTTTACCGTTTTTTTTTACAGTTTTTAAAATTAACAGCTAAATGCCGTTTTGTCAGCTACAGTATATAACTAATTTAACAGCATATACTGTAGCTGACAAAACGGTATTTAGCTGTTAATTTTAAAAACAGTAACACAATATTTTTACAGTATAATGCTGGCAACCACAGCTGCCAGTAGTTTACCGTTTTTTTACAGGATAATTTTTTTACAGTGTATTGTTCTGTAAGAGAAACATCTGAGACAAACAGAAACCTCTCAACTTCTGAGCAATGTACGTTTCCATTGGAAAGTGATATCAGTAAAGCGTGAACATCTCAGCAATATAGTGATTCAGGTCATGAATGTCCCGACTTTAATATGAGTTGAACTGGTTCGTGTCAGAACATCTGGGATCAAAGAGCGGATGTGTTATCGCTGTCTACGAGACAAAGGCAGATGAAAAGATAAAAAGAGGGAGTATTACAGGTTCATGTCAACCTCTGAACCAGGTTATTATCTGAGTCTTCAGGTTATTAAAGGCGAATCCAGAGAGCATAAGATCCTTGTTGTGTGAGGTGAGTTGAACAGACGGGATAAATCACTCAGCGCTGACTCATCTATTGATCTATTTTCTCAGAACTGAAACAGTCACAGGTAGCATTTAACGTGTTGTTACTGCATGTGTTATCATTCACAAAAGCCCGGGAAAGCAAATTGTTTGTAAGAAAGGATGGTGTTTGGGAAGCCAAACTACAACAAATTGTTTTTCCATATTTGTTTTACAGGATGTTCAGGGTCTTACTGCTCCTGTTGGCTGTGGCTGGTGAGATTTATCTGCATCTTATTTATTGATATTATAATTATTATTTTAATACTCTAATTTCTAAAGGTGATTCTGTTACAAAATATTAAAATTGGTACGGTGATGTTAAAAGGAAAAACGGGGTCTGAGAAATCTCACATTATGAAATCTTATCATGGTCATCAGCCAAAATAATAATAGTTATTCAATCATAATAAATTAATATGGGAACACTTTCGGTCATTTTGTTTCATTTCTCTTCACTTCTTCAAATGTACCATAATTTTTCTGTAGTAATGGCTAAATGTAGTAAGTTTGTGTCTATCCTCATTAGTTCCAAGGTTCAGATACAGCATTCTTCTGAACTTTAACCTTTGTCAGGGTATAATCGCATGGCACATTTAATCTTCTTGATAAAATATGTGATTACCTATTCAACAATTGAGATAGATACAAGTCATAAATCAGTTTTAATGGAGAGTTGTGCTATTAAGTGAAATGGCTTCTTTCTTCAATAGTTTTCATAAGTTAATTGAGATTATATAAAGGTTATGTGGCATGGTTAATTAGTGAATCCTGTTCAATATCCCTTTCAAATAAAAAAACAGGGCTAACCTGCATTTAAAGCAACACAAATGCTGTGTATATGAACCGATAAAGTGTTGGTAACACTTTACTTAAAGCCCTTGTATAATGCATTATGAAGGTATTTATAATGTACATTATAATACAATATATCTTTTCATAAATAATTGTAACCAAAGTTAAAATGCTTATGTTAAATGTTAAAAGTTGTATTTGCAGATTCTGAAATTGTTTTTTTGTTTTGTGTTTTAATGCATTATACTTTCTAAAGGCATGTTCAATGAATAGATAAGTATTGTAATGTATTATAACTGTGGTTACAATTGATGCATTATAAGGTGCGTCACAAGGCAGAATTACTGCATTAAAATACTTTTATAATGCATTATACATAAGGGCTTTAAGCAAAGTGTTACCAAAATGTTATATGAGCTTCAGGTTGAACGTTCATGATGTACAGGTGAAACTCGAAAAATTTGAATATTGTGCAAAAGTTATAATTTTGATGATTATGGCTTACAGCTTATGAAACTCACAAATTCAAAATCTGAGAAAATTAGAATATTACATGAAATCTATATAAAAAATAAAAAAAGGATTTTAAATAGAGAAATGTCGGCCATCTGAAAAGTATAATCATGCATATATACTAAATATATTAGTTTCACCTTTTAATTTGAATTACTGAACTTTTGCATGATATTCTAATTTTTCGAGTTTCACCTGTATGTGCAGGTCTCCATGCAAGACCTCTGCATCGATTCCCAAATGGTAGACTGAAACCAATAGGGCCACACATGGCCCAACACGAAGACAGAGACAACTCAGTTCTGAAGGACATGAACACTGGCGTGAAACCCAAGAAGCAAATAGCCGTTCCTGTTGAGTTACGCAGGCAGGGAACAGAACCTTCCCGACGATTCCTGATGGATCTCAACACTGGGATGCTCAAGGAGGAGGTCGGCGAAATGAACAGAAGAGTTTCTGGCTGTATGTCTGCAAAGTCATTATTTTTTTTTTAAATTCAATGCACATAGAAGATTGGTCGGTCATATTTACCTATTTTTCTTTCTCCACAGTCTACAATCCTCCAGCTTATGGGAAGAGGCAGGGAACAGAACCCTCCAGACGCTTCCTGATGGACATGAACACTGGGATGCTCATACATGGAGTTGGAGAAATGAACAGAAGAGTTTCCGGCAGTAAGTCTAAAAAAAAAAAATCAAAAAAAAAAATCAATGCACATAGAAGATTTTGGCCATTAAGAATAGTTTTTTTTGTTGTTGTCTTTCTCCACAGTCTACAATCCTCCAGCGTATGAGATGAGGAAGGGAACTCAGAACTCTCAGGCCACGCTTGTGGATCCCAGAACTGGACAGAAGCTGCCGTCACTATCAGAGCTTCAGAGGAGGACAGCGCCATGTGAGTGTTTCAAAACATCTACACACACATGATATCAGGCACGTTTTAAGACTTGACATTTATTACAGAATTGTGTGTTTGAGCGTAGCAACAAAATATAGCTACAAGCGGCAATTACAGGGTCAAGTACGATTTTAACTCAAAGAATCAAAACATAATCTGTTATGATAATCTGTTCAAAGGTTATTGCTGCGTCCCAATTCGCATACTATCCGTCCTAAATAGTATTCGAAAATAGAATTAGTACGTCCCAAATCGTATATGTTGAAATGAGTGTCCCAAAGAGACCCGGATGGTCTACTATATCCGGTCAGAATCCGAAGTGCAGATCGATGCACACTCTAAGGGCTGATATTGCCCACAATCCATCGCGCGTTGGACGAGGATTCGGTTAGAACTACAAACACGAATGAAAAGTGTTCAAAAACTACAGACATGGAGGACGCGCGAGTCTGACGGTTATGTAGAGAGGTTTAGATAAAGGGGTTTGAGTGATTAATTATCAGTATCTAACCTGACGAAAATGTATTTATTCAATGTTGTCCACATTATATTGCATCTGCAGCATTGTGAACTTTTGCAAAGATACGTTTAGCCATTAACTTTTAAATGCATTATTATATTCAAATTCCAAACACATGAGGAGAGTCTCCGCATGAAAGACCCATGACTGGCAGATGAACGTGCGACAACAATTCTCTCCGAAATGGTAAGTTATATAAGATTGAATGGAGGATTTTAACTGTGACGAGATGATTGACAGAGCAGTTTACGGTGATAGGATGCACGCGACAGATCTGTCCGTTAAAGATGACGAAGTAGTATGTCCCAAAGCTTGCCTACTCTTTTGCTACACACTCAAAAGTATGTACTTTTTCTTCACAAAAAGAGTACATACTTTTAGGGCGTAGTATAAGTAGGCGAATTGGGACGCAGCATATGAGTAGGGCTGGGACAACGCGTCGACGTCATCGATGAAGTCGACGCAAAAAATACGTCGACGCAAAATATGCGCGTCGATTCGTCAGACCCAAAACAAAGATGGCGGCGCCGGAGAGTAGTAGCTGACTGGATTGTTGACTATACTGCGCGCGCATAACATACATAGCGCGCGTACGGCAGAGAGGGAGAGAGCGAGAGACACACGCAAGGTCTCTCGCTCTCTGCCGTGTGCGCTATGTATGTTATGCGCGCAGTATGTTCTGTCTCGCATGCGCGCTCTAGATTCTGGGAGATTTGAACTAATTTGCGGGCATCAGGGAGACGCTATCATCAATATGCTGGGGACTCCCGGAACTTCCGGGAGGTTTGGGATGTCTGAGTGCGGGTTTTTTCCCCCCTGGCGTGCATGTTAATCAATGAGTGCATTCACACCGGGAGCGGGAGCAGGAGCAGCGCGTGAGCAACAGTGAAGCGCGGGTTTCGGCGCAGAGTCTTAATTTGCTGCTGCCCACGCTCAATTAAAGTGAAAGCACACTTTTGATGGACAAAATAAATATGATTTCACCCAGAAAATGCACATAATTTGCATGTCTGGTGTGTTTTAACAAGAACTGGAGTTGGTATGTATGTCAGAAAAGAAAATGAAGACTCAAAAATATTTATAGAATTTTTTTATTGAATGCTAGACATCAAGTTATTATTTTCATCTTAAAGAAGAATTACAAGATGCACTTTTTTCAGTAAGCTAGGCCTATGTGTTTTCAAGGCTTTATTGAATGCTACCTCTGACTAAGAATGCATTACTTTGCACTTGTATAGTCTTTTATTTTGGAATTTTAAGAGCAATAAACATATATTGCAATGTTAAGGAATTCATGTTTTTTCATTCAGATATGTAAATCAACATGTATAAATTGCTATTAGTCAATTAATGGGGAGATAATCGATAACCAAATCGAAATCGAATCAGTCTGGAAAAATGAATCGTTAGATTAATCGATGCATCGAAAAAATAATCGCTAGATTAATCGTTTAAAAAATAATCGTTTATCCCAGCCCTAGTTATGAGCACATTTATATTTTATAGGTTATGTGCACATTTTTACAACGGTGTAACTCGCTTCACTACCGTAGTTCGATGCATCGTTGAAGAAATCAACTAGGGAGTCACGACTGTTTCCCGAAACCATATTGTCGCAAATTGGTCGTTCAACCACATTGGTTTATAACGTCACGCACGTGGTGGATTAATAACTACTTTTAATGAAACTTTTTGGGATCGAATTAACGCTAGATGTTTTGCTATAAATTACGGACATGGCATCTGAGGAATATTTCTCATATTTTTCAGTTATTTTGCTTTATTTCCAGATTAAATCATAGGTTCGTTCTTACACAGTAGAGCTCGTTCGCACATGCGCACTCTTCAAAAACGATGCTTTAAATCTCTTGACTAACTAAAAGACGTAAATGAGATTTGTATGTATTCTAAATAAAAGACACACGTTATACTTAATGCCAGCTTGCTTATTTTGCTCAAGATCAGGATTTATTGAGTCCACATGTCATGCAATCTAGAAACTATTCTAACCACAGCTCGAGATCTGTCGCTCAAACACACAACTCTGTGATGTTGTTTGCGAATGTTCGTTTGAACGATGGTTTTGTGAAATATCGACTCATTGAACTGCTGATAATGACTGAACGTGCGGCCATAGTTGGCTAACGTTATAGCCTGGTTAAAACCAGAGCATTCTCAGTTGTAACTGAGTTATGGTCTGTCAAAGCGTCATAGACAAATCATTTCCAGAGGGGCGTCACCAACGGACGTCGCGGATAGACCTAAACCCAATCAGAGCGATGAAGGAGATGACGTATGCAGAGCGGCGGAGAAACATCTCCGAGTGTTGTTCTTTGCTCGGTTTTTAACTAAAAGGAAACGTTCAAATGGCTTAAAACAGACGCGATAGCTGATTGGAACGAGTGATGTTCGACGGCGGCATCCATCTCTGTAATGTAGGCTACGATATCTGCTTCAAAATCCCAGCGCTGTCGTCATCGTGTAAAGCGGCCCCAACGCTTCTGATTGGTGCCGCGATTTCGACGGATTGGAAATGGGCTTGAATGAGCTCTTAGCCAGACTAAGGGTGTATTCACACCAGGAAAGTCCGATAGTTCACTTTCTTTGGTCCGGACCAAATAATTTTTTTTTTTTTTTTGGTACGGTTCGCTTTCACACTGCTCTTTTTGCAAGTGAACCAAAATTTGTCAACAAAACCACACGTGTGCTAAGGTCGTCCATTCACTGGACAAGGATTCTCAAGTAGGGAAATCAGGAAGTGCAAAAAAGGTTCAGCATGGAGATATTTCGTACTGCAATATTTGTTATTTTACTAATTTTGTGTTATTCTGTACAAACGCAATATGAAGAAACTGCGCAGAAGACGGATAAGGTATAAAGTTTTGATTCATAGAGAGGGGCTGTGTTCACACATTCAAATAATGAGATTCTTATTGTATATCCTGCTAACAAGTGCTGTCAATGTTAACGCTTGCGATATAAGTTTGTCCAGTTTAATGCAGCGTCATCCTTGTATTGTAACTATCGTTACATTATATGAACTGCAAAAGCTTTTTTTGCATCTATGCGGGATTAGACTAAAGAGAACGCGCTGTGTGTGAATGTCCTGATGCACACACTCATTCATTCATTCCATTCCAATGACGCACACGACGCGCAGAAAGACGCACAACAGTATCGTGTGGCCAGACAGCGCGCCGGAATGGAATTCTCTTTCGCACTTGAACAACAATAACACAAACCATTATGCCAAAATCTCCGACTACGGAAGCCTTTTAAATCAAAGGCGCAGTGCTTTCTTGCAATTGGGTCGGTTCATGTTCACACCGTAAACTAACCGTACCAGAGTTCGTTTGGAAGCGTACCGAGGCCACCTCTTCAGCTGGGTCTCGGTTCGGTTGTTTGGTCCGCACCCGAGTTCGATTGCTGTATTCACACCTGGCCAAAAGGTCCGCACCAAGGGGGGAAACGAACTAGAGTTCGATTCAATCGGACCAAACAAGGCAGGTGTGAATACATCCTAACTTTTGGAGCAAATCTAAATTTGCCGGAAGTTGTCTGGGTTTTCCCAGGCTACTAACGTTATGCTTTTGGGAAACACACCCCAGAGCTGGTGGACCAGCTGTTCCCAAGCAAACAACAACCAGCATCCCTTGCATTAGCATAAACGTGAGATTAGTCTCTTTTTTGAGAACCATGAGACTTACATAAAAAGTCTCCAATTGTTCTTGTTTAACCTCATATAGGAAACTCTTCAACTGTCTGAGAGATAATAAATCTCATTGTGATTTTTTAATTTATTAATATGGGACTTTTTGAAGTGTGACAGTCTCCATTTGTTGTGGTATTTCTCCAACAGTGGATGAGTTCAGACAAGGCACTGAACACCAGCCGCACATCTTACAGGAGCTCAGAAAGCATCACATGATGAAACCACATGAGCACAGAGCGATCCCTGCTGATCCTTCCAGAAACGTCCTAATGGACCTGAACACCGGTCTACTCAAAGAACACAGGAACGAGTTGGACGGGAGAGTAGCAGGCTGTAAGTCTCACTTTCTAATGGACGATCTACAACCCTTCTGAAAAGACCTGCATTTTGCTGGTGAACAGTATGACTAATAATATTATACCAACAACTTCAGTTTTGTCAGAAAAAAACTCTATTTTATAGGTTGATTGGACTATCGAATGCAGAAATGGTTGACATTACACAAACAAATGTAACAATGTAAATTTCTAGGCCATTAGTATGAGTTACTTAACATATTAAACAGCAAGAACTTACAATGTCAAGTTTGGTGGCGTGATCAGTTTAGTCACTGATAATGGGAACTTTTGATGACATAAATATTTGTTATGCAGAACTGCAAGTTGTGAACCCTGATTGCTTCAAGTTTTTGAGTTTTCACAACTTCTGATTTTTAAGTGTAATGCAACGACAACCAAACCAAAGTCTAGTTGGTCTTCTTTTCAAAAGGGAATCTAGCTTTTTTGCCAGTTTGGACTTATGTTTTCTTTCACCTTCATTAGCAGCCAAATGGGAAGTGGTTTCTGGCCCTGAGCACGAGGACATAAAAAGCCAAGACTCTTCTGAACGTAAGGAAAACCACGTAGCCGTTCCTGTTGAGTTACGCAGGCAGGGAACAGAACCTTCCAGACGCTTCCTGATGGACATGAACACTGGGATGCTCAAGAAGGAAGTCAGCGAAATGAACAGAAGAGTTTCAGGCTGTACGTTTGCAAAATAAGTGGATTTCGAGTTTCAACAACTATAATCAAGTAGATTTTAACCATATTATTTTCTCCACAGTCTACAATCCTCCAGCTTATGGGAAGAGGCAGGGAACAGAACCCTCCAGACGCTTCCTGATGGACATGAACACTGGGATGCTCATACATGGAGTTGGAGAAATGAACAGAAGAGTTTCCGGCTGTAAGTCTGCAAAGACATAAAAAAAAAAAAAAAAATCAATGCACATAGAAGATTGGTCATATTTACCTATTTTTGTCTTTCTCCACAGTCTACAATCCTCCAGCGTATGAGATGAGGAAGGGAACTCAGAACTCTCAGGCCACGCTTGTGGATCCCAGAACTGGACAGAAGCTGCCGTCACTATCAGAGCTTCAGAGGAGGACAGCGCCATGTGAGTGTTTCAAAACATCTACACACACATGATATCAGGCACGTTTTAAGACTTAGAAATGATTAAAACATATATACGTACTTGCACTTTAGGGATTTTAAAGGCCCACTGAAGTGCCTTGGTACGCGGAGCTTTGTTTGATGCGTTGACGTAATTCGCCTTTGGCTAAGCCCCGCCCCCCTTAGTTACTGTTGCTACGTCCGACAAACAAACTTCATCTGGGCTCTGGTATCAACATGGCTTATGCTGTGACAGCTCTTCCTGCTGAAATTTTATCAAACTTTTATAAAGCAGCAAATAAAGTGTCCGATAGAAGTAGGCAAAAGGGCTGCAATATACGTTCGAAGGCTATATTCACGACATACAGGTGAAACGCAAGGAACAACAAGGCAACCAAATAGAGGCAAAAGCAAACCGGTCACAGTCAAAAAATGACCCACCGCATATCCTACTAATGGAGACGGAGGCTGGGACTCACAATATCAAGGAGCAACACTGTTCATGCAAAGCTGGAGGTCTCTATTCACTTCTACAATCGTTATTACAAAGCAAACGGACTACGCGAGTATAACGTTGTATTTATTAGCAGCGTGTGCTAGACGACACTTGTCAGGATTTGACTTCGGTTTTGGGAAGGGAAAAAAACGGACACCCCCCTCCAACCTCTCTGGGAAACGCGTATCTGTGTTACAAATGCCCCAGGCACAACGTTTAACCATATTTTTGATAAAACTACGACGGTAATAGCCTGCCGAGACCAAAAATATGAGACGCCTGTGTTAAAGTCAATGGAGCGCTGTGAAAAAGTGTCGGACCACTGTGGGAGCTCGTTCTTGGCTGCGCTGTGATTGGTCAATCTACATTCTAGGGTGTGGCTTAGCCAAAGGCGAATTTCCACTGAAACGGGAAGCTAAGGTGGGACATATTGAATGGCTCCTCCCCCTTTTCAAATAGCCAATAGCGTTTAGTTTACCTCACAGACTGCAGTCGTACTTGACGGCACCATGGAGGCGAATCCGAGCGCTGATGATACATGGATTCAATAGTAGAGTTGCGAATTAATTCTATCCATTTCATTCTCAACCAACGTATAGTTGGAAAACGTTATAAAACTCGAGCTTTGAGCAACCGAACACACTTTCCAACACATATTGCTGTGTGACGTGTCAACGGTCGGTTTGCCCAGGTGGTGTTTATAGCGTAGGAGGCGGAGCTTAAGATTCTAGAGGGCATTTGATTGGACAGGAGATGTGATGAGAAGCTGAAGTCCGCGGTGATGTCATAAAAATCCCTGATCCATTTTAGCAGAAGTGAGAGACTGTAAGTTTTGAAGCCTTATATCTCCTAAATGCGAATTTTGTCATTGTTTTGGAACACACCAGCTTATTTATAACATTAAGGCTAACATATTCATTCTAAGAGCTAAAAAACTTACATTTTGATTTCAGGGGGCCTTTAAAGGGATATTTCTTTAAAAAAGAAAATTCTGTCATCATTTCTAATATGTTAAATGTTTTCCTTCTGTGCAGCAAAGTTATTTAGTAGAGCGTTCAAGCATTGAAGACATGCTTTTTTTGACTGAACTATTCCTCTAAATACTATGTTTTCTGTATTCTTCCTTCAACAGTGGATGAGTTTAGACAAGCCACTGTACACCAGCCGCACATCCTACATGAGCTCAGACTGACTGAGATGCACAAACCAGGCTCTGAACCATCCAGAAACCTCAAGATGGACTTGAACACCGGTCTACTGAAAGAAAACCATAAGATGTCCAGAAGATCACGCTGTAAGTCTCAAGTTCAAATATCTGAGAACAAGACGTTTTGTCCCATTGAATGAAAGATTATTTGTTGATGTTGAAGATCATTTCCGATAATTTACAAGCCAAGGGATTAGAAAAAACGTAATGGTTGCCTTGCTAGACTCGTGTTTTCTTTCACCTTCATTAGCAGCCAAATGGGAAGTGGTTTCTGGCCCTGAGCACGAGGACATAAAAAGCCAAGACTCTTCTGAACGTAAGGAAAACCACGTAGCCGTTCCTGTTGAGTTACGCAGGCAGGGAACAGAACCTTCCAGACGCTTCCTGATGGACATGAACACTGGGATGCTCAAGAAGGAAGTCAGCGAAATGAACAGAAGAGTTTCAGGCTGTACGTTTGCAAAATAAGTGGATTTCGAGTTTCAACAACTATAATCAAGTAGATTTTAATCATATTATTTTCTCCACAGTCTACAATCCTCCAGCTTATGGGAAGAGGCAGGGAACAGAACCCTCCAGACGCTTCCTGATGGACATGAACACTGGGATGCCTATACATGGAGTTGGAGAAATGAACAGAAGAGTTTCCGGCTGTAAGTCTGCAAAGACAAAAAAAATAAAAAAAATAAATGCACATAGAAGATTGGTCATATTTACCTATTTTTGTCTTTCTCCACAGTCTACAATCCTCCAGCGTATGAGATGAGGAAGGGAACTCAGAACTCTCAGGCCACGCTTGTGGATCCCAGAACTGGACAGAAGCTGCCGTCACTATCAGAGCTTCAGAGGAGGACAGCGCCATGTGAGTGTTTCAAAACATCTACACACATGATATCAGGCACGTTTTAAGACTTAGAAATTAGAAAAAAAGAAAAAAAAGGGATATTAAAGGGTTCTTTCCATCTTAATTTGTACTAAATTGTTTTTTCTTCTTCTTCTGATCAACACAAAAATGATAGTGGAACTTTCAAAAATGTAAAAAAAAAAAAAAAAAAATCTGTTTTTTTTCTTTTCTTCTCTACAGTGGTTGAGCTCAGACAAGGCACTGAACGCCAGCTGCACATCCAGGAGCTCAGAAAGCATCATAATAAAACCAAAGTACAGCGCTTAGTCCGACGAACTCATGTTTAGAATCGGTGAGCTTTTTCTAATCAACAAACACTATCTGCGCTGGCTAAGTAATAAGGCATTTTTAAGTTACAACTGCTCATTTTGCATGTCATCATTCTTTGAACTATGGGCTATTATTAAGTTGTGTATCACCTCTAAAATAATCATGCAATATGGGCCAAAACTAAACAAATGCCACCATTTAGGAAATGCTGAAAGCAAAGTGAATTTTTTTGTGTGGTCATTTTCCAGATGGGAGCGTTTGACTGTTTGTACCCTATGACTGCATGAAGACCATCTCTGGATCTATGCATCTGAAGTGCATAAGAAGCCAATCTCAGTTTTACTAAAGCTGTTGTCCATCATATTTGTAGGCTAACTGTCTATCTAGTACACTTTACTGCTAATTTTATTTTCATGCAATAAAGGTGTCATGCAATATTTGAACTTACCTCCTGCTGTTCTTATCTACAAAATAAATGCATTAACAAAATATTACTTTTGATGTTTTTACATGTTTTTACGGTTTTTATCTTAGTGACCTGTGGGACATCTCTTCTTATTATTTGGTGTGTTAAAGTGCGCCTGTAGTCAATACCTTTATCCCTTAAAACCCATCTTTGATCACCACAAATGATCATATTTAAACGTTTTTTCCTTGGAAAAAATTATTCATGCCTTAAAATAGTTTGAATGTAACTCTACACCCTTGCCTCATTTATATGCGGTTCTATGAATATTCGAATGAGCCCCGCCTCCACTCACTCACTCAGCTCAGAGATCCACTGGTTGACGATCACACGTTGATCTGATTGGTTACAAGGTCGTTTGTGACGTCAGAAACACCAGCGATTTCAAACCGTGTTTTTGAGACTGTCTTTGGTTCACTGCAGTTTTAAGGAGGAAATACTCAGCAATGCTGTCGACTTATGAATTTACACATGGTTTGTCTTAAAGCGTATTAAAAACACCATACATAGGCCTAGACATATAAACAACATTAAACGCTTGATTTTCACCACAGGGGTACTTTTGAGTTTTTTGTGGAAAAAACATGACTGTTGCTATATGCATAAGGTGTCAACGTTACTGATCATCATCTCGATCAACAGCTTATCTTACCACTAATATAGAATAATGTAAATATCAATCATACATACATCTGCATCTATGCTAATAATGAAGTGATAGGCCTAATCACATTATGATCAACAAAGCTGTATCATATTTGCTGATTCAAAAGATGATCAGAAATGCCTTCTGTCAGATTGATAGTTCATATCTTTTTAGCAAGTAAAAGGCCCTTCACCTCGTGGTTTTATAAAAATCATGTTAAAATGTGAATATCGATATCAAATATGATCCATCAGGCTTCTGAGGAAAGTTTATTTTTTATCCCTCAATCATCATTGTTTTTTCAACGAATTATTGCTTGGTTTAGTCTTTTATAATTTTCACTGCATCATACTATATGAGCCATACAAGCCTGATGTATCAAATATGATTCAAAACTTTTTAGATTTTGTCTAAACAACAAACCGTTCCATTACAATATAGTTAATCGACTACATCAAAACTGGGGTAACTTGGTACAAAAATAAAATAATAAGTTGGGTATTATGGTAACTTTCGATGATTAGTGAAGCGTTATGAGTCGCGTGGAGTCTCTCGCTCGATTATTATAAATTATATTATTATATTATTAAATATTTTGAATTTGCCGCTTTTGCGTCGCGGTGGTGACCGGAGGAAGAAGCAGTTGACGAGGCATTCTGGGATACTGGCGGACCCAACAACGCTTCTACTGTGATGGCGACCAATATCGAGCAGATTTTCAGGGATTTTGTAATGAATAAGATTAAAGAAATCGAGGATGAAACTCAAGAAATCAGGTAAAATGTTCGATCTTTTACTTGTGACTTAAGGTATAGCGTGTTTCATTAAGAACGCGTTGATTTTTTTTAGCCGACTAGCTTAACATTAACGTTAGCTGTTATGATCACTGTACACAAACTCCACTGAGATAGTGTTAAAACATTTAATGATGGTGTTGAAACTGAATTGTGTATTTTCTCGTCAACTCTCACTGTTTGTTGCCTTCTGTACTAGCTACATAATGAGGATCATGTTGTTGAAATAGCGTTGAAATTACAAGTTATTCCAGTGTAACGTTACATGAGAGAATACCTCTGTAACGTTATATTATAACTTAAACATGATAGGTGTTGTGTATCTAATGTTGTAAAAGGTTAAAATTGTTAACATTTACAATAAATGTTAGACTGTTATTTTCCTCTTTATTATGAAGCTGCTTTGAAACAATTTGTAAAGCACTGTATACATACTAATATGACTGGATTTGTCTACTTCTATGGTTTGGACACGATCACTTTACTGGTGTTACAGCATTTTCTTTGTATTCCTGAGAGTAAGAGATTCCTTTTATTATTATGAATTCTGTTGAATAAGGTAATAGACACATGATAATTTCACTCAAGAAAGCAACAAAGACAAAGGACTTCATCTACATCTCCGTCCTGTTTTGAATGAGTAATAAAATGTTTTTTTTTTTCGTTTTTTTCATTCAGTGTTACAGATGAGCCACAGTCTGAACCTGTGACGGAGATGGGAGAAGATGGACTAAAGGAAGAACAAATGAACTCACCAACAGGTTAGTTGTCAATACTTCTATGTTTTTGTATTTTATGACATATATTTGGTCACTAATAAGTCTTTGCTTTCACGGCAGATAAAGTCGCACATACTGACCTCCAAGATAACCATGCTAAAGAGGACACCAGCACTAAACACAGGAAAAGTAAAAAGCACAAAAAACACAAAAGCAAAAAGAAGAGAAAGAAACGCAAAGAAGGAAAAGACAGCAGCTCAGAGACTGAGTCCGACAAAGAGACACAAGAAAGGTGAGACACTTACAAAAGACACGTTAATTAGTCACCCTTGTTTTATAGTAGTAATATTTACAAAATGTGACAAGATCTGTTTGTTTGCTTAATGTTTAGTGATTGACTTCAGAGTAGTATCTTTCTTCTTAACATTTGATCATTTAAACCGTTGAATCATGCTCCAATCTAATGGTTTTATAAACTCTACAGCTGTTCAAATTAATCTCCAATGGGTTCAACTATAACTTCGTTTCAACTTGGTTTTTATTTCTAATGTGCACATTTTCTCCTATGTTTGTTTGTTGTCCAAAGTGGAAAGAAAAAGAAGAGAAAGAAGAAGAAAAAGAGCAAAGATGCAGACAAAGTAAAGAGGTCTCGCTCTAAGTCTGAAAGCTCTTCAGCATCTGGTTCTGAATCTGAGTCTGAATCAAAACCTTCCAATGAAAATACTAAGTCCTCTTCCGCAGGTAAGATTTCAAAGTCTGAGCTCAAAGACACATCTGGTGTTTTGCCTGACATTATTCCCAAGATAGAGAATTCTGTCCACAAAAGCACTGAAAACGAAAGGCCCAAAGATAAGAAAAGTAGTTCCAGCAGAAAATCTAAAAGTAAGGAGACTTCTAGAGGATCAAGATCACCCAGATGGAGATCAGGACACAGATCAAGATCCCGGTCTTCGAAACGACAACGTCGCTCAAAGTCAACCTCCCGCTCTAGAAATAGCTCCAAAAAGACTCATAAACAGGGAGAGAGAAGTAGATCAAGGTCAAAGAGACGCAACAATCGGTCCAGGTCTCATTCAGGCAGAAGAGGCAAACATTCAAGATCCAGGTCGCGCTCCAGGCGAACCAGATCCAGGTCTGTTGTGATCTCGAGGAAGAACAGAAAGTCTGTGTCAAAATCTAGGTCTAGCTCGCCACGAAGTAGATGCCGTTCCAAGAGTAAGTCTCAAAGTAGAACGAAACCTTCAAAATCAAGGTCCGTTTCGAAATCAAAGTCTGATCTGAAAGATGAACTGCAGAAAACTGAATCGATTAAGACTGATGCAGATCCAGCATTGGACAGTTGTACAAATTGTGCAATGGAAATGCAGAAGAACGTGTCTCAAAACACAACTGAGAATGGAAAAAGTCCAACAATGGCTGTGTACACTGACACCAAGTTGTTTGACGTTGCGTCGATCAGCTTGAGTTCTGGTTTCAACACAGTTGGAGTCACTGGATCTTGGCGACCAGTTCCCTTCTTGGCAGAGACGTCTGTGACCAAGTCTTCCCAAAAGTGCATTACACCTGAGGTGCCTTTGGAAGTGACCAATTTATCTGAAGAACCGCCAACCGTTACGCCAAAAGATTCGGAGTGCGCTGCCAACCCTGACGAGAAAGAAACCGACGCAAATCCAATAACCAACGTAGAGACTTTGATCGAGAGGAGCTCAACCTCACCATCCAAGTCTCCCAGTCAAGACACGTCCTCAAGATCCAAAGTAGCTGCACGATCCAGATCAAAGTCGTCCTCGAAAAAGAGAAAATCCAAGTCTCGATCGCCCTCGGCAAAGAAATCGCACAAGTCCCGGACGAGGAGCAAACGTTCGAAGTCGAGGTCGCCCAAAAAGAGAAAGTCGAGATCTCGTTCACAAGGTCGTAGGAGGAAATCTCGAACTCCAGACAGAAGCAGGCGATCTAAATCAAGAAAGAGGTCTCGCTCGCATTCGAGGAGGAGATCCCGGTCCGGCTCACGCTGGAGAAGAGGAGGTTTCGGGAGCCGATCGCTGAATCAGCGGGACCGATGGAAGCGAGAACCCAGTCGTTCCCCGGTCCTCATTCTCCGCAAGAAAAGCTCGACTTCCAGACCTCGACGGAGCACCAGCAAGACGCCTCCACGTCTTACAGAACTTGGTATGAAGAAACTTCTAAATTCGGTCAAAATCTTAAAGGAGAACTCTGGCACAAAATGAACCTTTGGTCTAATAAAACATTGGTACCTAGTTGACCGTTCTCTGAGATTTGTTTTCATGATAATCGAATGTAAAGAGTTTTATCTCTAAAAACTGTTTAGCGTATAACGCTAGTAATGGGGGCATTTAATAAGTAAAAAGAAATCGCTAGTTAATACCACTAACTAGGGGTGTAACGATTCATTCGTTTTCTCGATGCATCGATTACAAATCCTGACGATGCATATGCATCGATCTTGAAACATGTATTTCGAATCGTGAATCGTTTATTTCGGTCAATATTCGATTTAAAATGCTAAGAATCGAATAATTTGCGATTCTATATCGATTCAGTGCTTTAAAACATATAAACATTAAATGACTACATGCGCGAATTAATGAGGCGTTGTGCGGCGTCATTTCGCGTCCTCACAGCTCTCACATACTCGCTGCACTCTTACCATCTTTCACTGGATTTCGCTCGCGCTCGGTCCCATATAGCTCTCATCTGCAGATTTGAGCAGTCCGTGTTTGAGCTCTCCTCAGGACAGCCATTGGTGTTCACATGAGCAGATGACAGCTCTCTATCGAGAAAGCAAGCCATCGATAAAGCTGTCATTGCGCGGTCACTGCTATGAAACAACGCGTTCGTTGTGTGGAAACGTCACCGTTATTTTCTTTAAGATAAGATAGGCTACTGAAGTTTTATGGAAATGGGTCATACCCGTCCTGAGCAGTTAAAGTAAAACCCCACTTATTCAAGGGTGCGCATTTATTACATGGAAAGAGAAAACGTATAATAGGTGTCTAAAATGCACACGCTTCCAATTAATCATGAATGATGAATGAAATGTAACTTAATGTTGTTAAACTGAACTGATGAAATAACTACAACATTAATTACACTGAAATAAGAGCGCGTGGTTTATCCATCAATCAGATGCGCATTAAAGTTGCATTCGTAATCGTTAATATAGCACAAGTAGACAGCCGGCGCGTTTTCTTTCAGAATCACAAGGACAATCAGTCGGATAAAGAGAACAAAGAGTAGCTATTCCATGAGGAAACGTTAGTTAAGGTTTAGTTGGGATGGGAAAGTTCATGGTATTTTTAGTCTCACAATGGAGGATGTTTAATGTACCAGAAACACTTTAAGGTTGTGTATCCATTCCTACAAAATAGTTTGCATGATGAACTAACTATACTTTTAAAGCCTTTTTAAATCTTGGTTTACATTTTTACAAATGCTAATTTATAGGCTTTGGAAATTGGAAATATTTTTTATAATAATAGATTCATTAAAAACTAACATGGACTAACGTTAAATAGACAAAATGTCGTTTTTTTGTTTTTTGTTTTGTTCCCACTCTCTGACCCCCGAAGGCAGCTGTATAATTCACACCCTGACTAAGACCCATAGGGGGAAGCATTTAAATAATCCTATGAATGCCTATAAAAAATTAAGAATCGAATCGAATTAATCGAATCGCATCAAATTTTAATGTGAATCGCATTGAATCGAATCTTTCTGAATTTGCAAAAATCGTTCTTGAATCGAATCGAAAACCTATGAATCGTGAATCGAATCGATTCGCTGCCTACCCAAAGATTCACAGCCCTACCACTAACAAGGCTCAAAATAGCCCCACACGAACACAGTAACATAATGAGGGTCCCTACATGCAAAACGAAGCATTGAGAACTTTGTAAGTGTACAGACCGTTTAATAAGAAGATAAAGATAAAGACAGTCCACTTCGTGTATACAGACAAGAGCCATCTTTGGAAAACAGTCTCGACTAGTCAAACCACGAACGCCATTCATACAGTTCAGCTCACTTAGCACGTCGTTCGTGGTTTGACTAGTTGAGACTGTTTTCCAAAGATGGCTCCTGTCTGTATATAATTATAAAATATCTTCTTATTAAACGGTCTGTACACTTAGAAAGTTCTCAATGCTTTGTTTTGCATGTAGGGACCCTCATTATGTTACTGTGTTCGTGTGGGGCTATTTTGAGCCTTGTTAGTGGTATTAACTAGCGATTTCTTTTTACTTATTATATGCCCCCATTACTAGCGTTATACGCTAAACAGTTTTTAGAGATAAAACTCTTTACATTCGATTATCATGAAAACAAATCTCAGAGAACGGTTGACTAGGTACCAATGTTTTATTAGACCAAAGGTTCATTTTGTGCCGGAGTTCTCCTTTAAGGAATAATGAATATACTCTTTGAAAGAGGTATCTTACGCTCACCAATTCTGTACGTGTTTGATCAAATACATGATCAAAACCGTCAGTAAAGATGATGCTACAAAACATCTATATCAAAATTTGAAACATAAAACTAAGAATCCTAAAAAAAAATGTATTATGTTTTCCACAAAAATCGTAAGCAGTTAAACCGTTTCCATTCATATTAATTGAACATGATTAATAATTGATAAGAACGGAGCGCACACCAAATCAGCATATTGATGTCTAAAGGATCATGCAATGCTTTGATCACGGGAATAAATTACAGTATACTATATATTGAAAACGGTGTTTCAAATTGTAATAATATTTCACAATTTTTCACTGTATTTTGATCAAATAAATGCATCCATGGTGAGCATAAGAGACTCTTTCAAAAATATTAAAACTCTATATAAAATATTCCAAACTCTTGGCCAGTACTGTAAATTGCATTTGTCAGTAGCACTATTTTACAATTTCCTTGTTACATGTAACAGTAAATTATGTGCAACTAACCCTAATCCTATCCTATGGTAACGCTTCCTTTTACAGTCCTGTTACCCATGTCGATACTATGTACTTATTATAGTAATTATAATTACTGGGTAATAACTAGGTACTAACCCTGAACCTACCCCTAACCCATGTACTTACCTTATATTAGCCAGTACTTTCTAGGTAAGTACTGTACTGTAAAAGGAAGCGTTACCCCCTATTTTAAGTACATGTAGTTAATTATTATTACTCAGTACTTAAATATATAATTACACTGTAACAATGACACCTTCAAATAAAGCCTAACCCATTTGTCTTCTCTTACTGTTGTATTTCCTATTCCCAGATAAGGAGCAGTTGCTGGAAATAGCTAAGGCTAACGCTGCCGCTATGTGTGCCAAGGCCGGCGTGCCGATCCCAGACAGTCTCAGGCCCAGAGCTGTTCTCCAACTCCCCTTGTCATCCTCAAACTCCACATCCCTGTCCTTAACCGTGCCAGTAATGTCAAACATGACTATGAATGCTGCTATGGCTAGCATGACTGCCGCCACCATGACCGCTGCTTTGTCTAGCATGGGTGCCTTGGCTTCATTCACACAAATGGCCCCATTACCCACAATCGTCAACAAGCCACCGTCTTCAGCCACACCTAATCTTGCCAGTATTGAAGAAGCCAAAAAGAAAGTGACGAAGCAGGCGAACACCTTCAGCATTAAGGAGCTCACTGAGGTACGGGTTGTTGTGCATGTGCTTGCAGTTTGGTGTTTCTTGGTCTGCGTTGACTCAACGGTTTATTTAATCCTTCAGAGATGCAAGAAGATCACCGAGAGTAAGGAAGAAATGGCCATCGCAAAACCACACGTGTCAGACGATGAAGAGGATGAGAAGTTTGGAGCTTCGCTGAAGGAGAATAAGGGCATTGCGTTCAGTCTCGGTGTAAGTCTCTCACTGTCTCGCATCACTGTTACTTTTGTTCATACTTGAGGTTAGAGGTTTCTTCAATTCATTAACTGATCATACTGATATATTATTATTATTATTAGGGGTGTAACGGTTCACGAAATTCACGGTTCGGTTGGAAACGATACAGTGGTGTCACGGTTCGGTACGTTTTCGATACAGCAAAAAGAAAGAAATGCCAGAGAAATGTCCTATTTATTAAAAGAAAAATTATCTTTAAATAAGTTTGAGTTTTCCTACATCTTGAAACTTTTAGTTTTATAAATGGGGGTAATCTTTGAATGATGAACAAATAATGTTTTGGTCATCACATTAAAAATAACATTTAAATATAATAATACTTGAGTTTTGAAGTACGTGAAAGCATTTTACTATTCCTGCTAGGGCTGGGCGATATGGAGCAAAAAATATATCTCGATATATTTTGCTATATCTCGATATTCGATATATATCTCGATATCTTTACAGGAAAATGGATGTGAATACAACTCTAAATATAGGCCTACAATCAATAGAAAATTAATTTTCCATAACAGAATGTAACCAAATGAGAAAAATTAAACACAGGGCCTGAATTTCGTCATCATTATTAATCACGTGATTCATATACAGAAACTGAATAAAGTAATCAAATGGAAAATAACACTGAGTAGTATTTTAGTCCTGAATAAATTAAATACATAGGTTATTAATCCTGATTCCTTTAACTTAAAGCTATCTTTTGTTGTATTGACAACAAAATGAATGACACACATATGGCTGCCGTCACTTTAAGAGCTAGTGCACGGATCCTGTGTTCATTATACTGGCATGCGTTTTATGCTTATTAAAGACAAAACCGACTATGTTTAGAGTATACTCACGACGACCGAAATTGACAATTTAGCGTGTTAAAGCAATATAATCCGCGAAAAATAACTTTTGTTACTGGCCAGCTGTTCTTCAGGCGGATTTTCTATGAATGTGCGCATAGAAAATAATCTCTCAGAGAGCGCGCGAGCACTGATTAGTTTAAAATCGCTTGAATGTTTAAACTGGTAAGACTTAAAAAGACGTGCAAATGGTAAACTTCAGTCACGATGCACTGCTGGCCCGATTGTGCGAGTGAATATCCATCATGTCCCGACTCCTAAACGCGAGTGTGTATTATCGCCGCAGCGCTTGATACTTGCCTTGCACAACACATTATGAGAAGAGAAAGAAGCGGCACCGCTGAACACTCACGCTGTTTGTGAAATTGCGTCTGGCAGATAGTTGTTAAAAGAATGATTTGATTTTATAATCTGTGTGGATTACGATTGCGGGAATTTCCCGCATTATAAATGGGACCTGCGGGAATGATTAGAATTATGCGCAATACCCGCGCCGAAATTCGAGCCCTGCAATAGTTTAAAACAAGACGTTTGTAGTAGCCTTCTGATTACTGGAATCCATTGATCGAACTTCCATGCCTCTTATATAGTAATTATATATTGTAGTATGTAGGCTACCAATTTACTAATGCAATTAATGCTCACACTCTGTTTCTCTCGTGCTCTGTCGCTCGCGCGCAGACACACGGAGTTCTGTAGCCTCCGGGCTGGTTGCGGATGAGACAATTGTTGAATGAGACAACACGCGAGGTGAGGGGGAACAAAAGCAAGGAGGCGGGGGCGAGCACAGCACAGATAAGGCAAACAAGCAAAGTGGCGAAATCAGGATTAAATATAAACAATATATCGATATATACGATATGTCAAAATCCATATCGTGTTTAAAAAATATCTCGATATATTTTAAATATCGAGATATCGCCCACCCCTAATACCTGCCAAACTTCCATGGTTACAGTGTTACTACAGTACAGTATGAATGTTGCTGATCTGTGGACTTAAAAACCTGACTAAACATTCATGGCACAATGTTTCTCCTGGTTTCCACGTCAGCGCTGTTTGATCCGTTAATAACGACATTTTAGACATTTTAATGCTTCTCACTAGATCTTGCAGCGATGTTATTACTTCAGTACCGAATCCAAATGCTTTGTTTACTGGATCTCTTTTAGCGCTGTGTAGAAAGATCGGCTCGCGCTGCACTGACATTGATGATCCAAGCTGATAAACGGTCCGTGAAGCACAAAATAATGAGTTTCGTTCCGCTTTCGTCACGTTTGCCGTTTGATGTTGCGTCGTGGTGGTCGGATTTTAGTCGGCAGGAAAAATGGTCCAATGAATCGTTCGGTTTGTAATGTGTACCGAACCGAAAGCCTCGTACCGAACGGTTCAATACGAATATGTGTATCGTTACACCCCTAATTATTATACTTCAGACCGTATTAAACCTGGCCAACACTTCATGAACTTAACCTTGTTGAGGTGGGCTTTTACTTTTCACATTTTTTTGGTATTGGTTGATATTGGATATTTAACATGCATGTTGTTTTACATTGATATTATCTTTGCAGTCATCGAACACTCACCTTAAATAATTTATAACACTAAATGCAATCGATTAAAAAATGTATTTAGCCAAAATAGTATCGAATTTTAAAATGATCAAATATTAAAATATTATCCCTCTCAATTATGCAGGTTGTTGAGGTAGGCTTTTATTTTTTTACGATTTTTTTAAAATATATAAGTCAGGGATGGAAATTAACTTTTTTGTCCACCGGCCACTGTGGCTGGTGGATTTCAAAATCTACCAGCCACTCAATGTTTTTACCAGCCACTCTCTTGTTTTTAACCGACAATGTGTAACTGCATGTGAAAATGAATACTACAAGAATACTTAAGCAGTTTATTTAATCTCAAGTCTCAATGAAATACTGACATTTTCTCTTTCTCTCACCCTCGGCCTCATCCACCTAATCTGTCATTTATTTTTGTTTTGGTGATAAATTGAGCCAGCCTCCAAAAGTAATTAACCTGTCCTGTGATTTTTTTTTTTTCTCTCACACAACACTCTCCAGACACGGATTTATGAGCTATAGTATGTTGGTTGCCTTTACATTAGAATAATATTTAATATAATCTAGATATGAAATGGAATAAATAGCATTCAATACAAAATGAATATGTCTCATATATTGAAATCAAGTTTTATGTGATAAAATATTTGCTTTGTTGTGCATTAGAACCACATCAGGCATTTAATACAAAATAATTTATTGAAGCATCCAGATACTTCACCACGTGACAGCAGCTAGGCTCCTGATTGGTTAACGCGGCGCGAATTGACGCCAAAGTTCAGATTTTTCAACTCGGGCGGCAGACGCGAATTCGCGTCAAACGCGTGAATGCACAAAAGCACTCAATAAAATCATGCGCGCGGAACGCGTCAGACGCTCGAACTTGCCGCGCGAATGAGGCGTATTGGCATCTACCACGGCGCGCTCTACACCTCATTCGCGCCGCAGGAATTTTTTACGCGCATAACGCGTCTTTGCATTGACTTAACAATGAAATCACTCGCGCCAGACGCTCTATTCTCGTCTGGTGTGAACGCACCATGATGTTTTCTCTGCAGACCTCTACGCCTGCGATGTAACGCCACATTTTTGTTTGAAGGTGTGCCTCCTCTAAAAGTGTCTGCCGTCCGGGTCAAACAGTATGCTATTTTTATTTACCCGCCACGGTGGCCGGTAGGTGAAGCGAGTTTACCCGCCACAACACAAAATCACCCGCATTTGGCTGGTGGCGGGTGCTAATTTCCATCCCTGATATAATAAGTATAGTTTGATAATGGATATTTAATTTTGCATGCCATTTTTACATTTAAATTACCTCCATAAAAACACTAAAAATTTGATAACACTGTTAAATGTAATCTGTAGCGAATCTCAAAACAAACGTTTTTCATCATACATGTTATTATGCTTTACATTGATTTTTTTTTAGTGTTTTATTTTTTGTTTATCAAGACCAGAACTTTTATATAAGCCTTTTATCAGGTTTTGCCCATACCATGAAATTAATGTCTTATCGTTTTAGGCAGGATTTGAATCTCACTTCACAGATAATCATCTCTACTTCACGGTAACTGTGTTCTCTTCTCTTTCAGATCACAAAGCCAGGCGTCCGCACCGAAGCGGCCTTTGCTAAGGAGTTCCCGGTGTCCTCCGGCTCCCAGCACAGGAAGAAAGAGGCTGATGGTGCGTATGGGGAATGGGTGCCAGTCGAAAAGAAAACCGAAAAGCCTCCTGCGTCTGTTTCTGTTTCTGCGTCTGCGTCCGCGTCCGTTTCTGCTTCTTCTGAGACCAAGGAAACCAGCAAGGAGAATGATAGTGTCTTTCCTGAAGCACCTTCTCAAGTCAGTGTTCAACTTCTGAATTGATCTCAAATAAGCCTCATCTTCAGCTTGTCTCTATAAGCTCCTCTCTTTGGTTTCTAGCCCGTGGACATCACGTTGGCCGTCAGTGAGAGAGCGGTCGCACAGAAGAGGCTGGCGGAGAACCCCTTCGACATCAATGCCATGTGTATGCTCAATCGGGCTCAGGAGCAAGTACGTTTTGAGAGCCTACACGGTCCATAAATCACACAAGTGTCTTATACGTTTTGGCTAATTTGATCTTACTTTCAGCTACTAGTATAAGTGTAGCAGTGTTGTTACTGTTAACTAAAACTATTCAAATCCATTTTAAATGTGCCTATGCAACTAAACAAGTTCAAGACTAAAATAATAGGAAATTATATTAAGAAATAAGGACATTTTGGGTGTAGGAATTCTGATTTGTATACATTATTGGATTTATAATATTTTTGACTTGTGGTTTTTGATACATATATTCCAATTTATTTATGATAATGTATTTGAAATTAAAACATTTCTAAAATATATTTTGCTTGGTTTAGTCATGTTTTTGGTGAGATATATTTTCTTTGTAAGATTTGAACTTTCTCTCTTCTGTTTGTCCTGTGCCGCGTGACCAGGTGATTGCCGTGTGACTAATTGATTGCTGTTTAAAAGTAGCTCGTGGCCTGATTGGAGGTTCGCTCGTGAAGGGCCCGTTCACATATCGTGTCTTTTGCGCGCTCAAGTTCGTTATTTCAAATGTAGGCGCGCCGCGCGCGGTAAGCGGGCTCATCATTGAAGCAACGCGCTCATTTTCTCCAGGCGGAGCGAGATGAAAACACCTCAACTTTTCAGAATGCCGCAAGCGCACCACAGGTCATGTGACAAGAACCAACCAATCAGCTTCACCTTTTCGTAACAACATTGAAAGCTCAGTCAACGTGAAGGATGGGTATGCAACCCAAACACCCGGGTGTTTTTCTCCTCTCCGTAAATAAATCTTGTAGCAGAGCTACAGCAAGCGTGTTTCGGTGGTCGAAATCCATTAGCTACTATATAACTTCTTTGTCGTTGTGGAGAGCATATGGTTGCATAGCAACGACAGACGCCACGGGAAAATCGGACCGAATTTTACTATTACTAATAAAAGATAAGCTAATGTGCATTGTAAATGTCAGTAATTTATCTTTTTTGACTCATTCTTTTTATAAAAAGAATGATTTAAAGGCTGAAATATGTGATGTTTATCTTTTTATAAAACCTTTTTTGTCAACTTTATTTGAATTTCATTTTACTCTATGTGCCTATAGGGGTGGGCGGGGATGGCAGGGGTTGGTGGCAGTGTAAGTGACTTACCGGTATCTGAATATTTGCCGCGGGGCGAGGGCTTCGATTACCTCTCTCCTTTTTGACCATACATGTGTTTGCATCCCTGGTCCTCCATGTCTGTAGTTCTTTTTAACACTTTTCACTCGTGTTTGTAGTTCTAACCGAATCCTCGTCCACACGTGATGGGTTGTGGGCAATATTAGCCGTTAGCGTGCGCATCGATCTGCACTTCGGATATAGTAGACCATCCGGGTCTCTTTAAAACACTCATTTCAACACACTACGATTTTGGGACGTACTAATTCTATTTTCGAATACTATTTAGGACGGATAGTATGCGAATTGGGACGCAGCAATTGTGTTTGTCACTCACACCCTGATGAAGACTCATTAGCCGCAACGCGTTGGTGTGCCGTTGCTTGTCACGTGTTTAAAATACCGAAGCCATGAATGAATAAAGGCTTTTTATATTCATTTTTTATACTAGATCAATTTACTCGAGTGCATTGGTTTGTTTTTTTAATGAACTAAAATAATAGAATTTAAAAAAAAAACTCAATAAAAATGTCAAAAGCTCAACAAAATTGCTCAAACTTAAACTAAAATTAAAATGAAAACAGAACATATAATATTACAGTAGTGGGTTAAAAGTGATGTTTGTTTTTAAAGAGCCTACAAGTTTGATTATACAATAAAAATATATATATGTTTTTAAATATGAAGTTAAACCAAAACACTAATCTTGGTTATGGTATTTATCTGATCAAATTATTTGGCAAAAAAAAAAAAATGCATAGAAAATCAAAAAGCATACACTGACTACAGCATAAGTGAGTAATTTATTATTCATATTTGGTTGGTTCTCTCTTGTTTTTGCATGTGTTCATAATTTCTTTGTATGACAGTCTGGACAAAAATGATGCACACAATTTGAGATGTTTCATTACGTTATTATCACAAATAAAACTATTGACTCCAAGCACAACTACGCAATATGCTTACAATATCTTTTACACATTTGTGAAGATGTCAACTTAAAAATCTACTTAAAACCCCGTTTTCGGTAGTTGAAATTAAACTGAAATAAAATATAAATATTAGATAAACTTGAAAATTGGAAATGTGCCTTTGCAACTAAATAAGCTGAAGTTGTAGTACCAAATGTACTTAAACTAAATAAAAATAACTTGAAGCTACGTTTATAGAAATATAAAAAAACAAATGACAAAAGCACAAGAAAAATACTAAAATTAAAATTAAAACAGGAATTTTAAAAAATAAAATTAAAATTAATAAATACTATAATAGTATATAAATAATTCTAGTTACACTAGAGTGCATTGTTAAACACTTTAAGTTTAAATTGACTGCAGCAATTAACATTTTGCCAGAACTTCTAGTAAATCACGTTATTTTGTTTAGTTTTCTGTTCAGATTGGTGTGAAAAATCTCAATTTGAAACCAAAAAAATTGTGATTCTCAGTTTATCCAGAACCGTGCAGCTTTAATACATTCGGTATTAGCTTATTTTTGAGGCATTATTTCCATACATCATGATTTTATTGCTGACGTCTGGTAATGGACTTTCACAGGTTGATGCATGGGCCCAGTCCAACACGATTCCCGGCCTCTTCACAGGTTCGACAGGCGCTCAAGTGCTCTCATCTGACGAGCTCTCCAACAGCGGCCCACAAGCCTGGATTAAGAAGGTAAAGCCCTGAGTCAACGCCACCACTCTTACAATGATTCTGGACATATATTGTGCTTGATGGTTTGTGTTTTTCATCATATATGTGTGTTAAATTCCCAAGAATCATAAAGTTGACATCATGAAAGATGGTGTATTGCAGTCAGATGCTTAATTTATATTTACACTGTTCTGACATACGCTCACATTGCACATGAAGGGTAAAATAGATCCTGAAATGCTCTCAAACTCACAGTTACCCATCATCCCCTTTTATAAAGCATATAAGAATTGTCATCTGTGATTACTTTGCCAATTGGTGTACCCAACTGAGTTGTTAATCAGACCGCAGTCCAGTCACTCGCACAATGATAGTTCACACCGGACGCTTTTTAATTAATAAGTATTGATCTTTGAGCTTAGCATGACGTCAATGTATCCTGGGAAACGGTCTTGCCAAAAGACAGCTCAGAACTGTGTGTGTGTGTGTGTGTGTGTTTACTGACGTCAGCTGAAAGAGAGAGAAAGAGCGTCTTTTCTTCTCAAGGGGACCTATTATGCGCTTTTTCAATGTAAAAAAAAAAATATATATATATTTTTCCCATATTCTCCATTGTCTGTTTACAGGGTTTCTGTGGGGCATTAAAAAGCCAATAAATGGATTTATTGAAAATTAATGCCTTAAATAACATTAAAAAGCATTACATTTTTAGATGTAGTTTTGAAGAAAATTTAATACTATCAATTTATTTGAATTTATTCATAGTTTATCATTTTTATTTTATGCTGTCGTAAAATATGGACGTTAGTGTGATAAACGTGGAACCGGTTTGGTAATTGCTTCCGGTAATTTTTTCAATTTTTATTATCCAAACATCAATATTTGTATTAGTAATCAGGGAGACTGACCTTCATTCATAAAAATTATGCCAAATATACTGTATGTTGTTTCTACATTAATTAGGAGATTAACTGTGAAATTATTACATTTAAAAAAATACCTACATGATAAAAACGTACAAAAATGTAATCAGACAATTTTTTGATTCATTTTTTTTTTAATCGATTGATAGCACAAATATATAATATCTGTGGTTAGTCATGTATGGCATTACATTTTTTTTAAATGGCATTAAAAAGAATTAAATTTAATTTAAAGATACCTGCAGAAACCCTGGTTTAGCCCCTCCTCCTGAAAAGCACGCTGTGCTCTGATTGGTCGGCTGGATCAGTGTGTTGTGAGTGGTCGAGCGCTTCGAGTGTGTTTGGGAAATGTCCCGCCCCTTTCCATAACCGCCAGTTTAACACTACTAACTAACTCAACCAGGCCCCGCCCCTTTATTCTGCGTATGAATTATTATAATGAGGAATATTGTGACGTGTTCGTTCCCGGGAGAAACTCAAGACTACAATGGAGGCGTTTCAGGAGTTCAGAAACACTGACGCTCATATAGAGAAGAACTCAAACACGTACTATGATAAAAGCATAATAGGTCCCTCTTTAAGTGCAAATATTTGACTCGATTTACAGTCCTTTGGAGGAAACGAGGCTCTCTTGATTAAACGACCCCAGCGTTTGAAGGAAAGTCGGACGGGTACACCACTTGTGCAGGTCATGCAGATGTTTTATATGTGAAATTCTGTCGTAGCAGATGCATTGATGGATCGGCCTCACTTTACTCCCCTAAAAAGTGTCTTTTGAGAGCGAGGGGAGGAAAGGAAGATGATGTGAAGTAAGCCTCTCCGCCCCTCCTCTGAAACTCCCAATGAATAGAGAAATATGCATCAGGATCCGACTCTCAAATCTGATTGGATGAGCCACATGCAGAAAATAGCCAATGTAACACAACCTACAGTTAGATTAATAAACTACAGTAGTCAACATTTAAACTTTTCATCATATTTATACATGAATTTTGAACAATACCCGTTCTTGTCTTTATTTTTGATCCACTTTAAAATGTTGACTACTGTATATTTCTCTACACTACTGTTCAGAAATGTGGCGTTGGTAAGATCGTTCTCATATTCACCAAGGCTGCATTTATTTGATCAAAAATACAGTAAAATAGTGTAATATTCTCGCGGTTTAAAATAGCAGTTTTCTATGTGATTATGTTGTAAAATGTAATTTATATCCTGTGATCAAAGCTGAATTTTCAGCATTATTACTCCTCTTCAGTGTCACATGATTATTTTAATATGCCGATTTGCTGTTCAAATAACATTTTTGATTATCAATGTATTATTATATCAATATTTTTGTGGAAACCGTGACACATTTTATTTCAGGATCCTGATAGAAAGTCAAAAAGTACAGCATTAATTTGAAATGTAACATCATAAATGTCTTTACTGTAATTTTTGCACAGTTTAATGCATCCTTGCTGAATAAAAGTATGAATTTCCTTTTTTTTTAAATAATCTTACTGACATCAAATTTTGAACATTAGTGTAAATCTTAATTGGATATTGGTGTCTTTTATCATATTGATGTTCCTGTCACTTTATTAAAGCAATAAATCTTTTGAAGTCGTATGTTACAGTTACTCTAAGAGGTTTTAGGCACTCCTAAAAACCCCTTGGTCTTATTAGTATTATTATTATTATTATTATTAATATTCAATTTACACAACACAAGCCAGAACTGTGTACATGTGTCGCTTTAGCTGAGAAGGCTTTGGATGCTGACTGATGTGTAATACACACCTTTACATTTAAGAGACATGATGATCCAAAGTTTTTATTTAGACTAAGCTAATTAAATGCTTAATTAGTCTCTGTACAGAGAGATCATAGAATTCAGAATAGAATTATTCAGGGCAGTGTTTCCAAAACGGCCAACTTTGCCTAGATACGACAGTCTCAATATACAGTCAAACCAAAAATTATTCAGATATCATTTTTTTACTCGTGTGTCCAGAACACTACAGTTCATTTATAAGTGAGCAAAATAAAGTAAACTGAGACATATTACACCCAATAATTCTTCATACAGTGACATTTGGGACCAAATCCAGACACTTTGAGCTGATCAAAGTGTGTTTTCTGTAACTGCTAATGCTCTTTTTACACACAGACTGAACAACATGAAGCATTGCTTGGTCACTGGTTGAGCTAAACTGGTATTATCTAATTGTGTAGTTCAATTTAACAGCTGACAGATATTCAACATAATTCATGTGTGAGAGTCGAACAGAAGGACGGACAAAACCAGTCAAATATCCACTGATCTGAGAACTGAAACTGAAAATGTCTGAATAAGTTTCGGTTTGACTGTATAAACCCAGTGTGATATGTTTGGAGCTCACTCTTTACCCAAGAGCGGGATTCAAATGATATCGAAGGAAGAAGCAGCATTTGACCCTGATTTTTTAAATTGTTTTAGTCTAAAATGCCCGAGAGGAAAGCGTCACAACAATGTTTGGGATTCGGCATTGATTTGCCAGCGGGTTCGAGGCTCTCAAGCTGATTGGTTGGGTTGGGACACGAGGGGTGGGGGCTCACAGTTTGACCTGTGAACTCTCACCCCTCTGTATGGACACTTGTTGCAGGGTCAGTCCTTGTAGCTGCCTCTTTGCCATGGTCAGAGTCAGGCCCGTTGTGTTCACGTCAGATGCTCGGCCGATGATGGGGGCCTAGGTACGTACGTCCTCCAGCACCCTTCCTTCTATTCATGTGGATTTGTGTGTGAACTGATGCTTTTCTGCCATGTGCTCCTGTTTGTTTCCACTGAACCGACTCAAAGCCTGAGCTCTGTTCAGGACAGGTACTGAAGCTTCGCCTGGTGAAGGCTTGCACATTAGATTAGTTATGTGTTACTTAAGATATACACTACTGGTCAAAAGGTTTGGAATTATTAAGATTTTTTGTAATGTATGCACACCATGGATGCATTTACTCAGTCAAACAAAACTAATATTGTGAAATATATATAGTAACGTGTCATTTATATCCTGTGAATTTTCAGCATTTCTTCAGTGTCACATGATCCTCCAGAAATCACTCTAATATGATGATTTGATGCTCAAGAAACATTTATGATTTTGATGATTTTGATGTTGAAAACGGTGTCATATTTTTGTGGAAACGGTGATACCTTTTTTTTTTTTTTTCAGGATTCTCAGATTAAAAGAAAGTTTTTAGCATTTTTTTGAAATCGAATCTTTTGTAACATTTTGATGCACAAACTTTAAGGTGGTGTATCACGTTTTCTGCAAAAATGATAATAATCAGTCTTCAGTGTCACATGATCCTTCAGAAATCACTCTAATATGATGAAAAATGTATGATTATTATCATTTTTGCAGAAAACGTGATACACCACCTTAAAGTTTGTGCATCAAAATGTTACAAAAGATTCGATTTCAAAAAAAATAATAATAACTTTCTTTTAATCTGAGAATCCTAAAAAAAAAAAAAAAAAAAAAAGGTTTCCACAAGGTTTATCACCGTTTCCACAAAAATATGAAACCGATCATAATCATAAATGTTTCTTGAGCATCAGATCCTCATATTAGAGTGATTTCTGAAGGATCATGTGACACTGAAGACTGGAGTAATGATGCTGAAAATGATCACTTTACACTTTACTATATATTCACATTGAACATTTTTAATAATTTTTCACAATATTACAGTTTTTTGATCAAATAAATGCAGCCCTGGTGATGTTTATATGTATATTTATACTTGTTTAGTCTGCTGCAGGTGAGAAATAAAGGACTTTACATTTAAACACTTTACCTATTCTATATCATAACAACTTGAAGTGTTAAAATTAAAATAGAAATGAAGGCTGTTATATATCTAGCGTTTGATTTTAAAGCTCACAGCTCCGGTTGGAGTGATGTGCCGATGTGACGTGCCTGAGCGAGCGAATCTCTCACTGCTGGCCGTTTCTCTCCGTTTGCCTCTCTTTCTCTGTCTGAATCTGTCCCGTTGCATTCAGGACCAGTTCCTGCGGGCGGCGCCGGTCTCGGGCGGGATGGGCGAGTTACTGATGAGGAAGATGGGATGGCGTTCGGGGGAGGGTTTGGGGAAGCACAGGGAAGGCACGGTGGAGCCCATCATTATCGACTTCAAAACGGACCGCAAGGGTGAGCGAGACGCCCCCGTGGAGAAACGGATCGGGTGATGACGTCATCATCGCTGAGGTCACACTCATGACATCATGTGCTTCTGTTCACTCAGGGCTTGTGGCAGAAGGAGAGAAAACACAGAAGTCTGGCAACATTGTGGTGATGAAGGATCTTCTAGGTGAGTGACATGGTTTACGTTTCTAGATCCTAAACTCGAAAAATGTGAATATCGTGAAAAACTTCATTTATTTCAGTAATTTCAGCACTTAAAATCAGAGGTCGACCGATAGTGGATTTTACCGATACCGATATCTAGGTTTGACCGTACATGCCGATAACCGATAATTCAACCGATATTTTTTTTTATGGATACTGGATTAAAAACAAACATCATACTCACAATAAAACAGTGCTGAACTGAAATGTGCTCAATTAAATAAATAAATATGAATATATTAACTTTATACAGAAAATAATTTAAACATTAAAATATTACAGGTTTCGTTAGCTATAACCTAGAAACATACGTACATTTCATAGGTAACTCTTTGCAAGTCCCATTTGTAAACAAGGATGTATTAACTAGCTTTCATGAACTATATGCATAATGCAATATACCTTTTTACTGCATGTATTAATATGAGCAATACAATTGTACCTTTATCATTCATGTTAGTTCATTCACAGTACATTAACTAAGGTAATAAAAGATAAAATAAGAATTAAAACTCAATTTCAAATGCATTAGTAAATGTTGAAATTAACCAACTACCGTAACAATGAATAATTATTCTACAACTTGTATTAACCTTATTTAATGCTAAAAATGCAATGTTATTGTAAAGTGTTACCATTTCATATGATTCCAAAGAGTCGTGCTTAAAGATGGCCATTAAAATGTAATAAAGACCTGTATTATGTATACGTAATATAGCCTATAGTCTCTCACTTTATTTGCTTCTATATTTTAGAACACTTGATGATTATCTAATCAAAATAACAAGATCTATTGTAGTGATTAAAAAGATCTTAAATCGAACGCGTTTCTGATTAGTTTACGTTTCTGTCGGCTGCATGAACATATCAATGTTGAGAAAGCAATCACGTCACTAGTTTTAAATATGCAACTTCGTCGGCTAATGAACGCATAAAAGTGACCAGCCGGATAAAAATAACGCAAATAGATGGTAACAATTGCGCCATAAAACATTTGGGTCAGGTCTGCGTGTGTTTTTGTCACATTGCATTAACGGTTGACTGAGGTAATGTTAGAGTCCTCACAGCCTCGACGGCAAACTACTGTTCTTTCTCTGCTGATGCAGCATCTAGTCAACAAATGAATTAATTTGTAATGATATGGCAATATGTAGCTACTTTAGTGTTATGTATTCATACCGTTTCGCTGTCGGTGTTTTAAATGTCAGCGCTCTCACTGCGTGTTCTCTCCGTGCTGCGCGCTTCCTCACGTGTTAACGTAAACAACTCAGCCAGTGATAGTTTGTTATTTGTCCTCTAGAGGCCGCTCTCACTCTGTATAATGCCAGCAGTCTCTTCTGTTCTGAGCGCTCTCCTGCTGTGTAATGACCGCACGCACTTCTCAGCCGCTCCAGCAACGGACGCAACCCGGAAAAACTTTCGGTGTGGATTTTTGCCGATAACGATAGTTCCACCAAACAACTATCGGTGCCGATTAATCGGCAAAACCGATGAATCGGTCGACCTCTACTTAAAATGTGAAACTAATATATTATATAGACTCATTACATGCAAAGTGAGATATTTCAAGCCTTTATTTGTTATAATTTTGATGATTATGGATTACAGCTTATGAAAACCTTTTCACAATATTCTAATTTTGAATGTGGGGTTTTCAATTATAACAAATAAAGGCTTGAAATATCTCACTTTGCATGTAATGAGTCTAATAGTTTCACCTTTTAAGTGCTGAAATTACTAAAATAAATGAACTTTTGCACGATATTCAAATTTTTCAAGCTTCGTGTGTTTTTAAATCTGCACTGATTTATATCAAGTAAACACAAGAATAACTTTGATATTGATAGTAATGTTTCAAGATGATCACTAACTGAACTTGATCATCCATACAAAACACGCGTATCAAATATGATCATACGGCTTTTGAGGAAGGTTTATTTCTTCATCTCTCAATCATTGTATTTCATTGCATTATGTTTAAAAACTAGAGCTTTAATCATCAAACTAAGCATTAATATCATCTCACTGAGACACATTATTGACTGATATTGATATGCTTTTTATGTTCTTATCTGCCATACTGTTATTAAGATCTAATTGATTTACCTTACAAGCATCAGAATTTCATCTCACTTTTTCTCCATATAAATATCAACATCTGCACCGAATGGAATATTTTTCTTCTGAATAAAACACTGTTTTTTACCTCAATATTTTCACTGTATCATATTATCTTCATTTATACAGCGCTTTTAACAATATAGTTTCACAGCAGCTTTACAGTGATAACTGGAGATTACAGTAACAGATTGTTTAGAGTTAAAAGCAGATCTAGAATAAATTTATTGTCCAGATAAAGTTAGTTTTGATTGATTCACTTCCGTTGTAAAGATCATTAGTTATTATGAGCCATGAAAGCCTGATGTATCAAATTCAAATATGATGCTCAACGTACATTTTCTGACTAGTATTTCAAATGCCAAGTCAGAGATTGTTTGATGAAATGTGTAAATGTGAAGTGTCCTGGTTTATTAGGCAAGCATCCGGTGTCTGCTCTGATGGAGATGTGCAATAAGAAGAAGTGGCCCCAGCCTGAGTTTGTGATGGTGCACCACAGCGGACCCGACCACCGCAAGAACTTCCTCTTCAAGGTCCGTGCTTCATTTCATTACGTCAGCTTTCTCAAATACGAAGTTATACTCTTTTGCATTAAAAAAATATGTAAAACCCACTAAAAAAAAAAACAGTATTTTCCAATGGATTGTGAATTTAGACATCACAATATTATAAATAAAACTAGGGTTGTGTCCAATGTTCCCTCTAATTTTTTTTTCTTGCTGAGCAAAACTTTTTTCTATTGGGCGGACATTTTTCGCCACCTGAGCAAAAATAATCTTTATACCTGACCTGTACAGCATACGTAGAAACACAATGGTTTCAACATTCAGTTGTAACTTTTAACTTGAATGTGCCATTTCTATTTTATTTGACCCTTGATGTAACTTATTAGTATTAAATCATATTTTCGAAAAACAAGCTTATTAACTTTACCATTAACATTTACCATTTATTAAACTAAGAAGTCACTCGAAGCACATTTTAGGTTACCTGATAGTGTTGTCACGGTACCAAAATTTCAGTGTTCGGTACCAATACCAGTGAAAATCCACGGTTCTCGGTACCAATTTCGGTACCAAAGCTTAATTTAGATAAAATTTACATATATTAAAGTGTATATCACAGTTACAAAGATGGAAACTGTAGTATTAAAAACACTTTACAATAAGATTATATTTGTTAGATAACATTAGATAAAATGACCTAACAATAAACCATAGTTATATACATAGCAATTATCCTCCTTGGGGTTAATTTAAAAATATACTAAATACATTTTTTAAATCAAAAGTTTTATCTGTTAACATTATTTAATGCACAATGAATGAAGTGAACAAACATGAACAATCAAGTGTTTGTATTAAATAACATTCACAAACATTAATTAATGTTGTAAAAATATATCGTTCACTCAATGTGTTGATGTTAACACATCAAGTAATGTTAATGAATGGTATCTTATTGTAGTGTTACCAAACTATACAGGAGATAAAACATGTTTTATTTGACTTAACTGTAGCCTACTTTTATTTAATCCAAAACTGCCAAAAATGTCACTCTTGCCTGTCTTCAAAACTTGAGAACCCTGTAGCTGATTTCTAATGCAAGGGCTAGAAATCAATTAATTCTTTGCTGATACTTCCTCGTCATCACGGAGAGCGCAGTTTGCACCGCTTTCTCCTTCTCTCCACAAGCGCTCGCTCTCGCGTCTCCGCTATGCAACCATAAACAGTGACGCGCCTGGAAAAACAAGCTCGCACGTCGCTTCTATCATGAGCGCGCTTCCTGCGCGCCTACATTTGAAATTTGCACGCGCAAAAAACGTGCTATATGAACGTGTGAACGGCCCTTTATGGCAACGTGACATTAGCCTAATTCAACATATTTCCATGTGTGGCTCTTTCCTCCTTTCTTGTCAACAACTGGATTCAGAGCCAACGCTTAGGAGCGCGGCCGGTCGCCATGTGTTTTTATGAAGAGGACGCAACTCTGCACCTTTCGGACAGCGCATCAAGAACCGGATTAACCCGGAACTCGGTACCTAGAAAAGCTGGTACCGTAACCGTAAATTTTTTTTAGTACCGACTTGGTACCGAAGTACCGAGTTTTTTGACAACACTATTACCTGATATATTTTTTTACAGTGCTGTTAACTGTAATTGCGCTGGGACTAACATTATAGGCTTTAGCTTCAATTTTTATGAAATTATTCTTTAATCGGTTGCATATTATGTGGTGGATATATCCCTCGAATGCACACTGCAGTCCCTTTTGTCTTGCTCTCTCAGATATTTCACATGTTCGCCAAAAATGACTAATTATCTCATTGGGAATGTCTGACACCGGTGCATACACACTGTAATAGACGTGCCAGCCGCGAAAGCTTGACAGGCGTAGCAACAGTAACTAGGGAGGGCGGGGCTTAGCGAAGGGTCAATTGTGCATTCAGCAGCAGACCCATATTTTGGTGTAGTTCATCAGGTGTTCATCTGGTATTCTGTGCCGTCAGGTGGTGGTGAACGGGAGTGATTACCAGCCTCAGACTGCCAGTCCCAACAAGAAACACGCCAAGGCGATGGCCGCCACAGTGGCTCTTCAGGCGATGGGAGAAGTGGCGGGAGACGGGGTTCACACCGGACCCGTGTTCACAGCCGCCACTAACATGTGACGCCACATCGCTCACGCTGTCCGTCAGGGCAATATCATCCCGTACGCCATTATCTGTGTTATGAATTTTTTGTAATTTTGTAATTTTCTTCAAGCACATCCCCGTGACGGCCTTTGCACGCCATTGAAATGAGAAGCATGTTCACGGGTAATAATGAGTACATAGTTCACCAACTTTGAGGTTTTGTAATAATAATGTGTTTGATGCGTTTGACTGAACGGCGCCATTGTTTTAGACTGTTATTGTTTCTGTTAAGTCTGCTCTAATGCATGCTTAACTATTTTATCTTCATAAACAAGGTTTTTTGTCTTTGCTTTAAACTTTTTACCAGCCCCGAGTCCATTGCAGGCGTAGAACATGTTTTTGTGATGCAACGGAATAAACGGAGAATCATGTCACTGGAAAATAATGCTCTTTATTGTGTCCGGACAGTTTCACGTTCACTGTTGCTGTATGTGTTCGAGATTATCAATGTTGACATTTGTGTTACAAGAAGGTTGAGTATGTACAGGTGAAGCTCGAAACATTAGAATTTGGTGCAAAAGTTCATTTATTTCAGTAATTCAACTTAAAAGGTGAAACTAATATATTATATAGACTCATTACATGCAAAGTGAGATATTTCAAGCCTTTATTTGTTATAATTGTGATGATTATGGATTACAGCTTATAAAAACCCCAAATTCAAAATTAGAATATTGTGAAACTGTTTTCATATCTGTAAGCCATAATCAACACAATTATAACAAATGAATAGGGGTGTAACGATATTTGAACCGAACCGAAAAACCGCGATACACCACCCACGATACGTATCGCGATACTCTCATGGCGAACCGAACACGCCCCGCCCCCTGCTGCCCCGCCCCCTGCTGCCCCGCCCAGAATAATAAGCTCATTGCACCTCATGTGTTGTGTACACAACGAATACAGGGTTGTTGCCTAACCACCATTAACCACATATAATCGCAATAAGCTCAGTGTTTTGTTACTTGTGATAATAAGCAAGGTGTAATCTTTCAAATTATGTCTATTTGATCACGAAATGCAAACAATAAATGCCGTTTTGGCGCTCTTAGATGTGGCGTGACAGATATCACTGTATGCATGCGGCAGCCCGGAGCGCGATCATCTCTTCCTCAGTTACAGAATAAACATGAATGGACACCCGAAGGTATGTTGAAAGATACAGTATACTTACTGAAAGGCATCATAACTCGTGGAAACACTCAATCAGTGTTTCAACAGCGGAAATACGTCAATAAAACGCTTAGTTTTTCACATAGCTTTATATTTACCTCAGGCAAGTCATTCAGTGTCCACAGCTTGCTGGTTTGCTAACTCTTTCACTAAATAAATGCTATATATTAGCCTATATATTATATTTTACTTAACCTGTTTATGATGTTTGTTTAAAATAGTTGTCATGAAAATAACAGCAACTGTGTAAATTATTATATAACAATAACAAATTAGAGTAAAAACATGTTAATGCAAAAATTACCTTATGTGCAGTTTACATGTTTTCATACAATTTGTTATTTGAGTGTTGATTATTATTATATCATTTAGGTTAAAAGTCTAGGCTCTGTTGTTAAGCTTTAATGTTATAGTAATGTGCAAGTAAGGGCTGTAGTTTACAGCATTAGCAGATAATTTTGTTATCCTTCGAGAAACGTTTACTTGTAATTGAATTAATTTAAAGACAAGGACTCAATTTGTTCATTAAAGCACTGTTTAATAAAAAATAAAAGCAATTTTAGCTTTCTAAACCCCCCCACCCCACCCCACCCCACCCCACCCCACCCCACCCCACCGAAAAGAACCGAACCGAACCGAGACCTCAAAACCGTGGGACGAACCGAACCGTCAGGTTTGTGTATCGTTACACCCCTACAAATGAAGGCTTGAAATATCTCACTATGCATGTAATGAGTCTATATAGTTTCACCTTTTAAGTTGAATTACTGAAATAAATGAACTTTTGCACCATATTCACCATATTTCACCTGTAGATACAAAATGCACAACTCTTAAAATCAGTTTCAGCATTAGAAACACATCAACATGCAAACGGCAATCAAACCAAAAAAGAAAAACTGCATAAGTTTACATTTTTACAATATGACATGCACCACGGATCTCATCCGGACCGGTTTATAATGTATAATGTCAGAATGCTTTCAACAAATTTACCGTTCGATTTATTTTGTGACTAAAAAGGAGAAACGTGAGATCTGCGAAACTGATGAATGTGAACAATATTACAAACACATCACATTAGTAGATCTACAGTCTTTGATAATACTTCTATTAGCCATATTTTTGCTTCATGCTTTAAAAGATGGTAAAAATGACGTCAGAATTCAAAAACTAGAAATACTTAAGAACGTACAAAACAAATTAGCACCATTTTAAGATAAATGAATAGCACCATATTTAAAAGATTCACCGATCAAAGTACCACTCTTTATCAAAGATTTGTATTATTTAAAACAAATTAGTTTTCACAAACTTGATTTTTTTGTTTTTTTTTTAACTTCTTTAGTTATTAAAACCCAAAAATTTCAGAGCGCATTCTGGATACAAGAAAAAATAAAGCATTAAAAAACTCAGGCGAACCTTTATATATAAATTATAGAAGTATTAAATAGTATTGAGTCCTGTAAGTAAACAGTTGTGCTCCACAAATAAGCCGAGGCATATATAAAATATATAAAAAATACATTGCAATTTTTGTGAGCTGTGAAAAGTTGGTTCAACAAAATATAATGGAAATGCCTTGAACGTTAATCCCTTCATGATGACTCAGATTCTTCCAAACGCCAGTAATAATCCCAGAACGCCGGCAGTGACGAGCAGAACTCCAGTGATGAGTCCGATGCGGATCCAGGGAATCTCCCGATCCCAGATCAGCTCCAGAGGATCACGCTGACCTGCATTACACATTAGGGCTGTCAATATATCGCAAATCAAAAATGCAACAATATGTATCGTGGATAGTGGTTATAATTCACCCAAAATAAAAATTACTGTGTGAGAAAAAATCCAAGTTTACATCATTTTAGTGTCAGAACTACTCTATATAATGTTTAATATAATAATGCAATGTGGGAATATTTGTGCCAAATGTCTGATGTTACCAGTAAAAAGTGGCCGACGTTATTTTAAATATATCTAGTCAGTGAAAGTGCATATTCGTCTATAATAATTCTGTATTTTCATCTTCATAATCATGAATATTGTTATTCTGGTGTCTCTATTGTCCTGTGCTTTGGGTTTCCAGCACTGAGTCCCAGATATTCATTTACACACACAATGTAATATCAAATTTAGCATTTTAATCAACAGTACATTTTTTGTTAATCTTTTATCATGTCTTGGAGTATCGCAATAATATCGTATCGTGACATGAGAGTATCGTTACACCCAGGGCTTAATTTGAGCCGGAACACGCCGGCACCTCCGACGTTGGATCCGGAACCTTTTTTTATTGGATCAATAAATAAATATATAAATAAATAATATTGTCCACTTCAATGATGTATGCTAAGCTATGCTAAAAGTGGTACCGCCAGAACCGGAGATCGGCTGAATGGATTCAAAAACGGTAAAACTCAACAGTTTAACTCTGGGGGAGTTGTAAAATTAGCCTATTTCCAAAAAAGTGGAGTATCCCTTTAATTTTAGTATTAGTGATAGTAAAATGATTGGCATATTAGTGCCGCTGTGGCGACCCCTAGAGCAATAAGCAGAGAGAGGAAGAGAGTAAGAGTAGTAATATGAATATTACTAATATTACAATAAAGCTACATTTGTCAACATTTATTGGGTAACCTGACCTAACAGTAATATAGCATTTATTAATCTATATCAATCAGTAATTAAATGACCTAGAATTAAATTTACTAATACATGTTTTTAGCATGTTAACATTACTTTATGCAATGCATTAAACTAATATGAACCTAAACAGTAACCAAACCAAGATGAATAAATGCAATAAATGTTGATAAATCTCTGTTGATGCATGACAGCTAATGGTTTACATGTCATTTCATTATTCTATTATTATTATTATTATATGTGAATCTATTATTATAGATATTAACCTATTTTTTTTGTATAATTTCAGTTTTTTTTTTTTTTTTTTATCAAAATTTAACCTACTGTATGTTTCCCATTCCCTGGCTGATCTTTTTTTTTTTTTTTTTTTTTTTTTACAATTTGATACATTTTCTTTGCACATTTGGTAGTGGAGAATTTCAAGCAGTGTTTTTTAAGTGTCACTTAAATTTTGAGACTGTTTTTTTTTTTAACCTGTGGTATCGATTTAGTATCGATATCGAGGTAATAGGTTCTGGTATCGTACCGAAGCCCAAATTGTGGTATCGAGCCATCCCTAGTGTGTATCCGCTCCGCTGTTCTCTACTTTTAGAGGGTTTGTAGCCTTTGATCGGTGAAATATTTTTAAGCTTGAAGTTGTATGAAAACATACTGAACCTTTCAGAGCTAAAAACTTCCTCTTCAGTCCAAAACGAGCATTTATTGAGGATTAATACCTTATGATCATAATCACACATTAAATGATGACAAAATGTTCATTTTCTTGGACTTTCTTTCAATAGTTCTATGTTTGGAACTGATTAAAATGTCATTTTAACCTCTGATGAGGCTCACAAATCTTATTCACATTTTGTTTATATATATAAACAAAATGTGAATAAGATTTGTTATATATATATATATATATATATATATATAAACAAAATGTGATATTCAAAAATGTATAAAGTTAAAGTATTTAATATAGTAATATATATATAAGATACTATACTATATTATATTAAATATTTGAATATTATATTTTTTATTACTTGAATATTATAAATACTTTAGCAAAACTTGACCTGCTGCCTTGGCAAATAAATGAAAATAAAATAAGTTTGAGTGGAGATACTAAAACTACTAAATAATAATATATAATATAATATATAAATAATATCATGTAATTATATTTAAGAGCTCTGGCAGTGAATTTCTAGTGTCTGTTCTTCACACAAAACTATCATTTGTCTTCAGACTTGGAATATAGTGCACAGGCTGTATGGACGTCATTATAAATATAATGTGTAAGAATTATAAGCTTTGCATGCTTTATAAAATGTTTAATTCTCACCAGAAACGGTGCCGGCCTCAGGGACGGCGGATACATCTGTCATCAGGGGAATAGTGTTGACACACAGATGGTCAGTGTAAACCAACAACATTATATGAAAAGAATCAGTCATTGATTAACATGTATTGACTGTTACTAGTAATATTGTGCGGATGATCAGTAGCAGTACCTTCAGCTCTCTCAGCGTGTGTGTGTGATGGTGCTGCGCTGCTCGCTGTAGTTTGAGCTCTCTCAGCGTGTGTGTGTGATGGCACACTGATGTTCATTTCAGTCTGAGCTCTCTCAGTATGTGTGTGTGTTGGTGCTGCGCTGCTCGCTGTAGTTTGAGCGCTGACAGCATCTGTGTGTGTTGGCACACTGATGTTCATTTCGGTCTGAGCTCTCGTAGCATGTGTGTGTGTCGGTGTCGTGCGGCCCGCTTCAGTCTGAGCGCTCGCAACAGTTGTCCAAGCTGGCACACTTGTGTGAGAGGTCAAGCTGGCACTGGAGAATGAGTCCATGAGGTCTGTCATCCCTGAAGACATAGCTGAGGAGGGAGAGAGAGAGAGAGAGAGAGAGAGAGAGAGAGAGAGAGAGAGAGAGAGAGAGAGGTTAACTCTCTAGAGAGACCTGGTTTACTTATTCATTTATTAAGATGGATTATACTTATTTTTCACCCATTATGAGTGGACACACCCCTACTGCTGATTGGCTCACTCTGCCTCCTCCTCCATCATGAGTGAACACACCCCCTACTGCTGATTGGCTCACTCTGCCTCCTCCTCATCATGAGTGAACACACCCCCTACTGCTGATTGGCTCACTCTGCCTCCTCCCCATCCTGAGTGAACACACCCCCTACTGCTGATTGGCTCACTCTGCCTCCTCCCCATTATGAGTGGACACACCCCTACTGCTGATTGGCTCACTCTGCCTCCTCCTCATCATGAGTGAACACGCCCCTACTGCTGATTGGCTCACTCTGCCTCCTCCTCATCCTGAGTGAACACACCCCCTACTGCTGATTGGCTCACTCTGCCTCCTCCTCATCATGAGTGAACACGCCCCTACTGCTGATTGGCTCACTCTGCCTCCTCCTCATCATGAGTGAACACGCCCCTACTGCTGATTGGCTCACTCTGCCTCCTCCTCATCCTGAGTGAACACACCCCCTACTGCTGATTGGCTCACTCTGCCTCCTCCCCATTATGAGTGGACACACCCCTACTGCTGATTGGCTCACTCTGCCTCCTCCTCATCATGAGTGAACACGCCCCTACTGCTGATTGGCTCACTCTGCCTCCTCCTCATCATGAGTGAACACACCCCTACTGCTGATTGGCTCACTCTGCCTCCTCCTCATCATGAGTGAACACGCCCCTACTGCTGATTGGCTCACTCTGCCTCCTCCTCATCATGAGTGAACACACCCCTACTGCTGATTGGCTCACTCTGCCTCCTGCCCATCATGAGTGGACACACCCCTACTGCTGATTGGCTCACTCTGCCTCCTCCTCCATCATGAGTGAACACGCCCCTACTGCTGATTGGCTCACTCTGCCTCCTCCTCCATCATGAGTGAACACGCCCCTACTGCTGATTGGCTCACTCTGCCTCCTCCCCATCCTGAGTGGACACACCCCTACTGCTGATTGGCTCACTCTGCCTCCTCCCCATCATGAGTGAACACACCCCTACTGCTGATTGGCTCACTCTGCCTCCTCCTCATCATGAGTGAACACGCCCCTACTGCTGATTGGCTCACTCTGCCTCCTCCCCATCCTGAGTGGACACACCCCTACTGCTGATTGGCTCACTCTGCCTCCTCCCCATCATGAGTGGACACACCCCTACTGCTGATTGGCTCACTCTGCCTCCTCCTCATCATGAGTGAACACACCCCCTACTGCTGATTGGCTCACTCTGCCTCCTCCCCATCCTGAGTGAACACACCCCTACTGCTGATTGGCTCACTCTGCCTCCTCCTCATCATGAGTGAACACACCCCCTACTGCTGATTGGCTCACTCTGCCTCCTCCTCATCATGAGTGAACACACCCCTACTGCTGATTGGCTCACTCTGCCTCCTCCTCATCATGAGTGAACACACCCCCTACTGCTGATTGGCTCACTCTGCCTCCTCCTCATCATGAGTGAACACACCCCTACTGCTGATTGGCTCACTCTGCCTCCTCCTCATCATGAGTGAACACACCCCCTACTGCTGATTGGCTCACTCTGCCTCCTCCCCATCCTGAGTGAACACACCCCTACTGCTGATTGGCTCACTCTGCCTCCTCCTCATCATGAGTGAACACACCCCTACTGCTGATTGGCTCACTCTGCCTCCTCCCCATCATGAGTGAACACACCCCTACTGCTGATTGGCTCACTCTACCTCCTCCCCATCATGAGTGAACACATCCCCTACTGCTGATTGGCTCACTCTGCCTCCTCCCCATCCTGAGTGAACACACCCCTACTGCTGATTGGCTCACTCTACCTCCTCCTCATCATGAGTGAACACACCCCCTACTGCTGATTGGCTCACTCTGCCTCCTCCCCATCCTGAGTGAACACACCCCCTACTGCTGATTGGCTCACTCTGCCTCCCCATCCTGAGTGAACACACCCCCTACTGCTGATTGGCTCACTCTGCCTCCTCCTCATCATGAGTGAACACACCCCCTACTGCTGATTGGCTCACTCTGCCTCCTCCTCATCATGAGTGAACACGCCCCTACTGCTTATTGGCTCACTCTGCCTCCTCCTCATCCTGAGTGAACACACCCCCTACTGCTGATTGGCTCACTCTGCCTCCTCCTCATCATGAGTGAACACACCCCCTACTGCTGATTGGCTCACTCTGCCTCCTCCTCATCATGAGTGAACACGCCCCTACTGCTGATTGGCTCACTCTGCCTCCTCCTCATCCTGAGTGAACACACCCCCTACTGCTGATTGGCTCACTCTGCCTCCTCCCCATCCTGAGTGAACACACCCCCTACTGCTGATTGGCTCACTCTACCTCCTCCCCATCATGAGTGAACACATCCCCTACTGCTGATTGGCTCACTCTGCCTCCTCCCCATCCTGAGTGAACACACCCCTACTGCTGATTGGCTCACTCTACCTCCTCCTCATCATGAGTGAACACACCCCCTACTGCTGATTGGCTCACTCTGCCTCCTCCCCATCCTGAGTGAACACACCCCCTACTGCTGATTGGCTCACTCTGCCTCCCCATCCTGAGTGAACACACCCCCTACTGCTGATTGGCTCACTCTGCCTCCTCCTCATCATGAGTGAACACACCCCCTACTGCTGATTGGCTCACTCTGCCTCCTCCTCATCATGAGTGAACACGCCCCTACTGCTTATTGGCTCACTCTGCCTCCTCCTCATCCTGAGTGAACACACCCCCTACTGCTGATTGGCTCACTCTGCCTCCTCCTCATCATGAGTGAACACACCCCCTACTGCTGATTGGCTCACTCTGCCTCCTCCTCATCATGAGTGAACACGCCCCTACTGCTGATTGGCTCACTCTGCCTCCTCCCCATCCTGAGTGAACACACCCCCTACTGCTGATTGGCTCACTCTACCTCCTCCTCATCATGAGTGAACACACCCCCTACTGCTGATTGGCTCACTCTGCTTCCTCCCCATCCTGAGTGAACACACCCCCTACTGCTGATTGGCTCACTCTACCTCCTCCCCATCATGAGTGAACACATCCCCTACTGCTGATTGGCTCACTCTGCCTCCTCCCCATCCTGAGTGAACACACCCCTACTGCTGATTGGCTCACTCTACCTCCTCCTCATCATGAGTGAACACACCCCCTACTGCTGATTGGCTCACTCTGCCTCCTCCCCATCCTGAGTGAACACACCCCCTACTGCTGATTGGCTCACTCTGCCTCCCCATCCTGAGTGAACACACCCCCTACTGCTGATTGGCTCACTCTGCCTCCTCCTCATCATGAGTGAACACACCCCCTACTGCTGATTGGCTCACTCTGCCTCCTCCTCATCATGAGTGAACACGCCCCTACTGCTTATTGGCTCACTCTGCCTCCTCCTCATCCTGAGTGAACACACCCCCTACTGCTGATTGGCTCACTCTGCCTCCTCCTCATCATGAGTGAACACACCCCCTACTGCTGATTGGCTCACTCTGCCTCCTCCTCATCATGAGTGAACACGCCCCTACTGCTGATTGGCTCACTCTGCCTCCTCCTCATCCTGAGTGAACACACCCCCTACTGCTGATTGGCTCACTCTGCCTCCTCCCCATCCTGAGTGAACACACCCCCTACTGCTGATTGGCTCACTCTGCCTCCTCCTCATCATGAGTGAACACACCCCCTACTGCTGATTGGCTCACTCTGCCTCCTCCTCATCATGAGTGAACACACCCCTACTGCTGATTGGCTCACTCTGCCTCCTCCTCATCATGAGTGAACACACCCCCTACTGCTGATTGGCTCACTCTGCCTCCTCCCCATCCTGAGTGAACACACCCCTACTGCTGATTGGCTCACTCTGCCTCCTCCTCATCATGAGTGAACACACCCCTACTGCTGATTGGCTCACTCTGCCTCCTCCCCATCATGAGTGAACACACCCCTACTGCTGATTGGCTCACTCTACCTCCTCCCCATCATGAGTGAACACATCCCCTACTGCTGATTGGCTCACTCTGCCTCCTCCCCATCCTGAGTGAACACACCCCTACTGCTGATTGGCTCACTCTACCTCCTCCTCATCATGAGTGAACACACCCCCTACTGCTGATTGGCTCACTCTGCCTCCTCCCCATCCTGAGTGAACACGCCCCTACTGCTTATTGGCTCACTCTGCCTCCTCCTCATCCTGAGTGAACACACCCCCTACTGCTGATTGGCTCACTCTGCCTCCTCCTCATCATGAGTGAACACACCCCCTACTGCTGATTGGCTCACTCTGCCTCCTCCTCATCATGAGTGAACACGCCCCTACTGCTGATTGGCTCACTCTGCCTCCTCCTCATCCTGAGTGAACACACCCCCTACTGCTGATTGGCTCACTCTGCCTCCTCCCCATCCTGAGTGAACACACCCCCTACTGCTGATTGGCTCACTCTACCTCCTCCCCATCATGAGTGAACACATCCCCTACTGCTGATTGGCTCACTCTGCCTCCTCCCCATCCTGAGTGAACACACCCCTACTGCTGATTGGCTCACTCTACCTCCTCCTCATCATGAGTGAACACACCCCCTACTGCTGATTGGCTCACTCTGCCTCCTCCCCATCCTGAGTGAACACACCCCCTACTGCTGATTGGCTCACTCTGCCTCCCCATCCTGAGTGAACACACCCCCTACTGCTGATTGGCTCACTCTGCCTCCTCCTCATCATGAGTGAACACACCCCCTACTGCTGATTGGCTCACTCTGCCTCCTCCTCATCATGAGTGAACACGCCCCTACTGCTTATTGGCTCACTCTGCCTCCTCCTCATCCTGAGTGAACACACCCCCTACTGCTGATTGGCTCACTCTGCCTCCTCCTCATCATGAGTGAACACACCCCCTACTGCTGATTGGCTCACTCTGCCTCCTCCTCATCATGAGTGAACACGCCCCTACTGCTGATTGGCTCACTCTGCCTCCTCCCCATCCTGAGTGAACACACCCCCTACTGCTGATTGGCTCACTCTACCTCCTCCTCATCATGAGTGAACACACCCCCTACTGCTGATTGGCTCACTCTGCCTCCTCCCCATCCTGAGTGAACACACCCCCTACTGCTGATTGGCTCACTCTACCTCCTCCCCATCATGAGTGAACACATCCCCTACTGCTGATTGGCTCACTCTGCCTCCTCCCCATCCTGAGTGAACACACCCCTACTGCTGATTGGCTCACTCTACCTCCTCCTCATCATGAGTGAACACACCCCCTACTGCTGATTGGCTCACTCTGCCTCCTCCCCATCCTGAGTGAACACACCCCCTACTGCTGATTGGCTCACTCTGCCTCCCCATCCTGAGTGAACACACCCCCTACTGCTGATTGGCTCACTCTGCCTCCTCCTCATCATGAGTGAACACACCCCCTACTGCTGATTGGCTCACTCTGCCTCCTCCTCATCATGAGTGAACACGCCCCTACTGCTTATTGGCTCACTCTGCCTCCTCCTCATCCTGAGTGAACACACCCCCTACTGCTGATTGGCTCACTCTGCCTCCTCCTCATCATGAGTGAACACACCCCCTACTGCTGATTGGCTCACTCTGCCTCCTCCTCATCATGAGTGAACACGCCCCTACTGCTGATTGGCTCACTCTGCCTCCTCCTCATCCTGAGTGAACACACCCCCTACTGCTGATTGGCTCACTCTGCCTCCTCCCCATCCTGAGTGAACACACCCCCTACTGCTGATTGGCTCACTCTGCCTCCTCCTCATCATGAGTGAACACACCCCCTACTGCTGATTGGCTCACTCTGCCTCCTCCTCATCATGAGTGAACACACCCCTACTGCTGATTGGCTCACTCTGCCTCCTCCTCATCATGAGTGAACACACCCCCTACTGCTGATTGGCTCACTCTGCCTCCTCCCCATCCTGAGTGAACACACCCCTACTGCTGATTGGCTCACTCTGCCTCCTCCTCATCATGAGTGAACACACCCCTACTGCTGATTGGCTCACTCTGCCTCCTCCCCATCATGAGTGAACACACCCCTACTGCTGATTGGCTCACTCTACCTCCTCCCCATCATGAGTGAACACATCCCCTACTGCTGATTGGCTCACTCTGCCTCCTCCCCATCCTGAGTGAACACACCCCTACTGCTGATTGGCTCACTCTACCTCCTCCTCATCATGAGTGAACACACCCCCTACTGCTGATTGGCTCACTCTGCCTCCTCCCCATCCTGAGTGAACACACCCCCTACTGCTGATTGGCTCACTCTGCCTCCCCATCCTGAGTGAACACACCCCTACTGCTGATTGGCTCACTCTGCCTCCCCATCCTGAGTGAACACACCCCTACTGCTGATTGGCTCACTCTGCCTCCTCCTCATCATGAGTGAACACACCCCCTACTGCTGATTGGCTCACTCTGCCTCCCCATCCTGAGTGAACACACCCCTACTGCTGATTGGCTCACTCTGCCTCCTCCCCATCCTGAGTGAACACACCCCTACTGCTGATTGGCTCACTCTGCCTCCTCCTCATCATGAGTGAACACACCCCCTACTGCTGATTGGCTCACTCTGCCTCCTCCCCATCATGAGTGGACACACCCCTACTGCTGATTGGCTCACTCTGCCTCCTCCTCATCATGAGTGAACACACCCCCTACTGCTGATTGGCTCACTCTGCCTCCTCCTCATCATGAGTGAACACACCCCCTACTGCTGATTGGCTCACTCTGCCTCCTCCTCATCATGAGTGAACACACCCCCTACTGCTGATTGGCTCACTCTGCCTCCTCCTCATCATGAGTGAACACACCCCTACTGCTGATTGGCTCACTCTGCCTCCTCCTCATCATGAGTGAACACACCCCCTACTGCTGATTGGCTCACTCTGCCTCCTCCTCATCATGAGTGAACACACCCCCTACTGCTGATTGGCTCACTCTGCCTCCTCCCCATCATGAGTGAACACACCCCCTACTGCTGATTGGCTCACTCTGCCTCCCCATCCTGAGTGAACACACCCCTACTGCTGATTGGCTCACTCTGCCTCCTCCCCATCCTGAGTGAACACACCCCTACTGCTGATTGGCTCACTCTGCCTCCTCCTCATCATGAGTGAACACACCCCCTACTGCTGATTGGCTCACTCTGCCTCCTCCCCATCATGAGTGAACACACCCCCTACTGCTGATTGGCTCACTCTGCCTCCTCCCCATCATGAGTGAACACACCCCTACTGCTGAACACACACGTACCCCAAACAGTGAGTGTGTGCCTCTCCGGGAATCCGCTCCGCGGCTCCTCGTAATCGATGCTCTTGTAGCGGCACTTATAAACGCCCTGGTCGAAAACACTCACCGACTGAATGGTCAGTGAGAAGACACCGCGAGAGATATTGTGCTTGGGTGGTAATGTCATGATGTAATCAATACTGACGTCCATCTTTCCAGAGCTCAACCGCAGAATCTCTTTGTCATCTTTCAGCCATTGGATGTAGATGTCTTCCCATGGTTTATATTTCGGGATATTCCCAAAGCAGTCCAAAGTGATATCCTCGCCCTCAAAAGCTTCCACATGATCAGGGAACGACTCTGGTTCGGCTGAAATACGAGAGAGATTGTTCTTAAACTTGTGTTGATGCTCATCATATGGCATTTATGGACTGGTACTTTGTGCCTGAGGTGGGAAAATATGATATGAAAGTTTAATCGTCTGAGTTGGTTTTCTATCTAGTGTACTAATCAAGCGGCAACCGTCCTGTCTCTCTTTTGAATCCAACACGGAAATGACTTAAACTGCAGTTCATCGACTGGCCACTAGAGACAGGTTCCAAAAGAGAGTCAATCCCATAGACCCCCATGTTAAAATGCCCAACTTTACAGCAGAAAAAAACATGTTTACAGCCTGCTGCAAAAAGTGGTTTTGGTCTATATAGCTAATTTTGCCCTTCATGACGACTGTGAGAGGTGTGAATTTTTTTATAACTCATCCGTTTAAATGATATTAAGCCTTATAGTGCGTTCACACCGGACGCGAATAGCACGTCAGGCGCGAGTGATTTCAATGTTAAGTCAATGCTAAGACGCGTTACGCGCGTAAAAAATTCCTGCGGCACGAAGCGGTAGACGCGAATACACCTCATTCACGCGTCAAGTTCGCGTGAATGGCGCAAATTAAGCATCTGGCGCGTTAAGCGCGTTACACGCGAATGTTATGTAGTGCTTTTTGTGCATTCTCGCGTTTGACGCGAATTTGCGTCTGCCGCCCGAGTTGAAAAATCTGAACTTCTGCGTCAATTCGCGCCACGTTAACCAATCAGGAGCCTGCTTGCTGCTGTCACGTGGTGAAGTGACAGTTTATAATGTTATTTTATGTTTGGCCTCAATAAATTATTTTGTAATATGACAAAAATGCTTGGTGTGCAAAGCAAATCTTTCACATAAAAACTCGATTTCAATATATGAGAGATATTCATTTTGTATTGAATGCTATTTATTCCATATCTATTCTAGATTATATGAAACATTATTCTAATGTAAAGACAACAAACACAATTTAGTGTATAAAAACTTTAAAAAAAAAAAAATCACAGGACAGGTTTCACTTTTGGAGGCTCCATTTATTATCAAAACAAAAATAAATGACAGATTAGGTGGATGCGGGGGAGGGTGAACCTCGCGCCGGGCTCGACAGGCATAGACCACTCGAGGCCGAGGGCTTAAACGGCCTACGCTGTCCTCGTCAGCGTCCTCACCGTTAGGTCCACCAAACCTAGCTCCTGGAGCAAATTGTGAAACTCCTGAAACCCTCCGGAGGGTCTGATGGACCCGAGTACAGCGACGATGTCCCCTACGCAGCTGTTTCTGCTCTCCAGAGCATATACCAGCGGTGACTCTCTCGAATAATGCTAATGCTAATGCTCGATAAACATCTAAAAAGATGGCCGCCTCCGGATTTCGCCTCTGACTCGCGTAAATTTCGCTTCAAACTTTTGTTTTTACGCGCATCAATTTCACCATTGACACGCAAATTAACACAAAGTGGTCAAGCGTCAAACTAGACGCGAATTTGACGCGCTATTCCCGTCCGGTGTGAATGCACAGTTAAAGTTCTGCATTATTAAGGGCGTGGCCACTTGAGTGACAGGTGGATTGCCGCTGATGTCACTACTAGCCGTTTGTCTGCTGTGTGTTAGCGTCACCTTGGTTACTTACGCGACACATGCAGTAATACAGAGCAAATGGGTCTCATATCCGCCCAGAGACACTCGTATACATCTTCATCGTCCAGCATCACGTCAGTCAGAACGAGGGAAAAGTCCTCGGACTCGGCAGGATCCGTGAGGAAACTGACCCGCCCCTCAAACGCCCTCCCGACCCTGATGATGTCACCGCCAACCGAGAGGACGTCTTTTCCCATCGCCTCCCAGTGAACCCCCAGCTCTTCCACTGGGAATCCAGAACCATTGCAGGGCAAGATCACGCTTTTCCCGAGGATCGCCTGGACCGCCGACGTCTGCAGGTACAAACCTACACACACTGGATGAGGACGTGCAATAATAAGGAGAAATTAATACCAATTTTAATATCAATTAAATATCAGATTCTTCTAAACACAGAAGAGATTCCTCACTTACCACTGAGGGCTACAATAAAAATGAATGTAGTGCCAAGAATATTCATGTCCTCTTAGAAAACCTGGTGAATAATAATGATTATAAAAAACATTTAATCTATTATCTCTCCAAAATGTGCATTCCATTTTGCAATTCATTTTTATTGAAATCTATCATAAAATAAAAACTTTACAATATATATGAATTCCACATTACAATAAAATTCATGGTGAAAATATGCATAAATATTAAAAAAACATCACAATGGTTTTATTAGCCCTAAAAATACTCATATACATATATGCTTGTTTTTTTATATATATATATATATATATATATATATACAGGTCCTTCTCAAAAAATTAGCATATTGTGATAAAGTTAATTATTTTCCATAATGTAATGATAAAAATTAAACTTTCATATATTTTAGATTCATTGCACACCAACTGAAATATTTCAGGTCTTTTATTGTTTTAATACTGATGATTTTGGCATTCAGCTCATGAAAACCCAAAATTCCTGTCTCAAAAAATTAGCATATCATGAAAAGGGTCTCTAAACGAGCTATTAACCTAATCATCAGAATCAACTAATTAACTCTAAACACCTGCAAAAGATTCCTGAGGCTTTTAAAAACTCCCAGCCTGTTTCATTACTCAAAACCGCAATCATGGGTAAGACTGCCGACCTGACTGCTGTCCAGAAGGCCATCATTGACACCCTCAAGCAAGAGGGTAAGACAGAAAGAAATTTCTGAACAAATAGGCTGTTCCCAGAGTGCTGTATCAAGGCACCTCAGTGGGAAGTCTGTGGGAAGGAAAAAGTGTGGCAAAAAACGCTGCACAACGAGAAGAGGTGACCGGACCCAGAGGAAGATTGTGGAGAAGGACCGATTCCAGACCTTGGGGGACCTGCGGAAGCAGTGGACTGAGTCTGGAGTAGAAACATCCAGAGCCACCGTGCACAGGCATGTGCAGGACATGGGCTACAGGTGCCGCATTCCCCAGGTCAAGCCACTTTTGAACCAGAAACAGCGGCAGAAGCGCCTGACCTGGGCTACAGAGAAGCAGCACTGGACTGTTGCTCAGTTTTGCATGTCATTCGGAAATCAAGGTGCCAGAGTCTGGAGGAAGACTGGGGAGATGGAAATGCCAAAATGCCTGAAGTCCAGTGTCAAGTACCCACAGTCAGTGATGGTCTGGGGTGCCATGTCAGCTGCTGGTGTTGGTCCACTGTGTTTTATCAAGGGCAGGGTCAATGCAGCTAGCTATCAGGAGATTTTGGAGCACTTCATGCTTCCATCTGCTGAAAAGCTTTATGGAGATGAAGATTTCATTTTTCAGCACGACCTGGCACCTGCTCACAGTGCCAAAACCACTGGTAAATGGTTTACTGACCATGGTATTACTGTGCTCAATTGGCCTGCCAGCTCTCCTGACCTGAAGCCCATAGAGAATCTGTGGGATATTGTGAAGAGAAAGTTGAGAGACGCAAGACCCAACACTCTGGATGAGCTTAAGGCCGCTATCGAAGCATCCTGGGCCTCCATAACACCTCAGCAGTGCCACAGGCTGATTGCCTCCATGCCACGCCGCATTGAAGCAGTCATTTCTGCAAAAGGATTCCCGACCAAGTATTGACTATTGAGTGCATAACTGAACATAATTATTTGAAGGTTGACTTTTTTTTTTTTGTATTAAAAACACTTCTTTTATTGGTCGGATGAAATATGCTAATTTTTTGAGACAGGAATTTGGGGTTTTCATGAGCTGTATGCCAAAATCATCAGTATTAAAACAATAAAAGACCTGAAATATTTCAGTTGGTGTGCAATGAATCTAAAATATATGAAAGTTTAATTTTTATCATTACATTATGGAAAATAATGAACTTTATCACAATATGCTAATTCTTTTAGAAGGACCTGTATATATATATATGTATTATATATATATATATACACACACACACACACATATACACACACAATATATATACACATATATATATATATATACACACACACATATATACACACACACACACTATATAGTTTGACAAATACAGTTTGTTTTTATGACCCTGCGAGTTTAATTAAACCATTGAAATATAAGGAAAATATTTTATATGTTGTAAGTATTTTAAATATGAGGGAAGAACAAACACTAATCTTGGTTAAGTTATTAATCTGACAAAACTATTTGGCAAAAAGGCAAACTACAGTTACAAGTTTTATTTTAATAGGCAAAAAAAAATGCATAGAAAATCAAAAACCTGTCAGGAAACAGTAAACATTGATTACAGCATAATCAGTTATTAATATTCCGTTGGTTCTCTCTTGTTTTTGTGTGTTCATAATTTATTCGTATGACATTCTAGCCAAAAAATTATGTTGGCATGTTTCATTGAGTTATCCCAAATATCATGTATTTAAAACCTACTAGTATTATGCTTCTAAATGATATTAATAATCTGTGGTTTTGTCGGGCATGTGGTGGACGCCCACAGAATCAGCTAAAGCTTTATTTAATAGTGCTGACGTGCGTCACATGAGCCTGTAACCCGATCACATCAAACACTCTGGGGTTCACATGCTTACTAGTTATAAACTAAATCTACTTCTTTAAATCACAAATTATGACACTTCTATTCTGAATTTAATTATTAGACAATACAGCGATAGATGAGTTTATCACTAAAGCACATGGAGATCATTATTGCATCAAAAAGCAATGGGAGCTTTTATTTTCATTAGTTATTTTGCTTTATTATTAGCATTTGCCTTGTAAAATATTTGTATTTAGCATGAATTTATTTTTTATGTCAGTTTTGGTCATATTAGTACTTTATTTCAACATTTCTAATTTTCTACATTTCACGTTTGAGTTAAAAATAACACTAAGACACTAGTTATGTAACTTTAGTCATGGAAACAGCATTTTCTCTGTTGATTTAACTTATATTTACCTAAATAGAAAGAGAACTGATCAATGTTAAATTAACATCATGTTTAATGACAAGGAAAACAGATTAAGACGTTAAAAGTTTGTAATACACAAGGCACAATCATACACATATTCCTTATCACATCTTTCATTTCTCCTTGTAACTTCTTGAGTTGCTTCATGCTTTATGGTTGAGAAATAACAGATTCTTCTACTAATATCATGTTATTTCCGGCTGACAGCATCACTGAGATGACGAGGAAATGAAAGTACTCACGAGTCTGCAGTTATTCAGAGATTATGATCATCAGAGCTGCTTCATTCAGAGTTAGTTCTGGTCTTCAGCCCAGGGTCGAGTCACATGCTGAACAGAGAGAACATGAATCCAGTGTATCTGAACATGAAGCACGTTCAGGGCTCGAGCTGACGGGTGTTAAAATACGACCTGACGCATCATCACAGTTACATTACACTGCAGAAACCGCATTACCTGAGCAATATTGCATTGAATGTGTGCAATAGATCGGAGAGGTAAAGACTCGTTCTGTCGGAGAACTTTAATGTGTAAGCTGTGTGTGTGTGTAACATTAGACGAGGTGTTACACCACGATCCTCTTCTGAATCGGCATTTCTTGGCTTGACTGCAAGTATTTACACTCTTAAACACTCCTGGCAGAAACTCAAGCTCTGCTTTTAGACTAGCGAGTCTAGAACAAAAGAACAAGTTTGCAACAACTTAAACGCTTAATCTAAACTAATAATTGATTAAAAAAAATATATATTCCCGGTGGATATGAATGCATTTAAAGGGTAAATCTCACCAAAAAAAAGTGGCCAGGTCGCATTTCACTTGCAAGAATAATAATGTTTTATTCAAATCTAAAAAAATATATACTTTACAATACACATACATTTTTACATTTAAAATTAGGGAGGAAATGTGCCTAAATATTAAAATAACATCACACTAATTAACATCTTATTGGCCCTAAAAGTGAAACATATAGGGATGCATCCAAATTTTGGCCAATACGATTACCGATAATTCTGTATATTTGAAAGCCGATAACCGATATATGGGCCGATAAATCCAAATGATCATATAATTTTTGAGAGCCTGATTACAAAGACAAAACCCCCCAAAAATGTCTCATTATAATTTTATGTAACCTATATGACAGACTTGCCTTCCTTTTTTGAAGTGATTCCAATCATATTTCAAGCAATTCAAAACCATCATGTTGAACAAGTGTATATATTAGTGCTGTCAAACGATTAAAATATTTAATCGCGATTAATCGCATTAATGTCATAGTTAAGTCGCGATTAATCGCACATTTTTATCTGTTCTAAATGTCTCTTGATTTCTTTTTGTCCCATTATTTTTTCTCATTTTAATGCTCTTATCAACATGGAAAAGTGGATCGGCTTGCTTTGTGCAAATGTTTTTTATTGAAAACAACATTGTCAAATACTGTGTTCAATTTCACACTAACATTCTCACTTGGAGCAAATAATCTCTCACACAATGTAACACTGTCCATCAATAAAAGGGTGAAAGAATTCACACTCAAATCAATATTTCATTTCCATTCTTTTATTTATAAAGTATCCATGTAATAAGCAGGATAAAGTAGTTAGCAGGTTATTATCATTATATTATCCTCTCACTCATTTCCCCGTCAGAGAATTAGAAATACTTGCTTTAAACACGTTTGTTTTGCACTTATCTGTGACACCATTATGAGAGATATAAAGCGGGAAATATTTCAACTCATTTAATATTATATATTCATACAAATGTGAATAATACACTGGATTTCAACAAAATATTACCATGAGTGTTCAACACAAAACTACACTTAAGAAAGGAATCAGTTGTTTCTCATCTAGAGACGGTGATTAAAACTTAAGCTTTAAAATCACACCATCTAAAACACTCCAAAAATTGAGACTTAAAATGACAAATTTTAAAGTTATGTTTACATGCATGGCACACTAAAAGCGCCACTATATAGAAGCACATGTCTCTGATGGAGTGAGTGGAGTCACATGACGCCTGAGATGGCGAGAGATATTAATAGGCCTGTCAGTGGAGACTCACGCTCAGGTCTTCCAGCTGTACGAGTAGTCTCTCATGTGCAACTGTCTGAGCGCACACTTTCCCAGAATGCTCGGCGCTGCCAGCTGCTGAACTGAGCTCTGCTGGAGCCCACACCTGGCCAGATCCTGTACAACACACCCCTAGAGGAGAAGAAGAAAAAACCAGAGCATGAGACCTTCAGGAGCAGCTACACACACACACACACACACACACACCCAGATCCTGTACAACACACTCCTAGAGGAGAAGAAACCAGAGCATGAGACCTTCAGGAGCAGCTACACACACACACACACACACACACACACACACACACCCAGATCCTGCACAACACACTCCTAGAGGAGAAGAAACCAGAGCATGAGACCTTCAGGAGCAGCTACACACACACACACACACACACACACACGCCCAGATCCTGTACAACACACTCCTAGAGGAGAAGAAACCAGAGCATGAGACCTTCAGGAGCAGCTACACACACACACACACACACACACACACACACACACACACACACGCCCAGATCCTGTACAACACACTCCTAGAGGAGAAAACACCAGAGCATGAGACCTTCAGGAGCAGCTACACACACACACACACACACACACACCCAGATCCTGTACAACACACTCCTAGAGGAGAAGAAACCAGAGCATGAGACCTTCAGGAGCAGCTACACACACACACACCCAGATCCTGTACAACACACTCCTAGAGGAGAAGAAACCAGAGCATGAGACCTTCAGGAGCAGCTACACACACACACACACACACACACACACACACACACACACACACACGCCCAGATCCTGTACAACACACTCCTAGAGGTGAAGAAACCAGAGCATGAGACCTTCAGGAGCAGCTACACACACACACACACACACACACACACGCCCAGATCCTGTACAACACACTCCTAGAGCAGAAGAAACCAGAGCATGAGACCTTCAGGAGCAGCTACACACACACACACACACACACCCAGATCCTGTACAACACACTCCTAGAGGAGAAGAAACCAGAGCATGAGACCTTCAGGAGCAGCTACACACACACACACACACACACACACACACACACGCCCAGATCCTGTACAACACACTCCTAGAGAAGAAGAAACCAGAGCATGAGACCTTCAGGAGCAGCTACACACACACACACACACACACACACACACACACACACACGCACGCCCAGATCCTGTACAACACACTCCTAGAGGAGAAGAAACCAGAGCATGAGACCTTCAGGAGCAGCTACACACACACACACACACACCCAGATCCTGTACAACACACTCCTAGAGGAGAAAACACCAGAGCATGAGACCTTCAGGAGCAGCTACACACACACACACACACACACACACACACACACACCCAGATCCTGTACAACACACTCCTAGAGGAGAAAACACCAGAGCATGAGACCTTCAGGAGCAGCTACACACACACACACACACACACACACACACACACACACACCCAGATCCTGTACAACACACTCCTAGAGGAGAAGAAACCAGAGCATGAGACCTTCAGGAGCAGCTACACACACACACACACACACACACACACACCCAGATCCTGCACAACACACTCCTAGAGAAGAAGAAACCAGAGCATGAGACCTTCAGGAGCAGCTACACACACACACACACACACACACACACACACCCAGATCCTGCACAACACACTCCTAGAGGAGAAGAAACCAGAGCATGAGACCTTCAGGAGCAGCTACACACACACACACACACACACACACACCCAGATCCTGCACAACACACTCCTAGAGGAGAAGAAACCAGAGCATGAGACCTTCAGGAGCAGCTACACACACACACACACACACACACACACGCCCAGATCCTGTACAACACACTCCTAGAGAAGAAGAAACCAGAGCATGAGACCTTCAGGAGCAGCTACACACACACACACACACACACACACACACACACACACACACACACACACACACACACACACACACACACACACGCCCAGATCCTGTACAACACACTCCTAGAGGAGAAAACACCAGAGCATGAGACCTTCAGGAGCAGCTACACACACACACACACACACACACACACCCAGATCCTGTACAACACACTCCTAGAGGAGAAGAAACCAGAGCATGAGACCTTCAGGAGCAGCTACACACACACACACACACACACACACACCCAGATCCTGCACAACACACTCCTAGAGGAGAAGAAACCAGAGCATGAGACCTTCAGGAGCAGCTACACACACACACACACACACACACACACACACGCCCAGATCCTGTACAACACACTCCTAGAGAAGAAGAAACCAGAGCATGAGACCTTCAGGAGCAGCTACACACACACACACACACACACACACACACACACACACACACACACACACACACGCCCAGATCCTGTACAACACACTCCTAGAGGAGAAAACACCAGAGCATGAGACCTTCAGGAGCAGCTACACACACACACACACACACACACACCCAGATCCTGTACAACACACTCCTAGAGGAGAAGAAACCAGAGCATGAGACCTTCAGGAGCAGCTACACACACACACACACACACCCAGATCCTGTACAACACACTCCTAGAGGAGAAGAAACCAGAGCATGAGACCTTCAGGAGCAGCTACACACACACACACACACACACACACACGCCCAGATCCTGTACAACACACTCCTAGAGGAGAAGAAACCAGAGCATGAGACCTTCAGGAGCAGCTACACACACACACACACACACACACACACACACACACCCAGATCCTGTACAACACACTCC